CTCGTCTTTCCTTCATCTCCTTATTTCTACAATTCCGCCGTTTCGCCATCTTATTCTCCCGTATGTAGGTGCATATACTAGACTGTATTTGCGGACTATATATTCTCTCGAGTAAAGTCCAAGTAGCGGACGGAGCTGCCTAGGTACTGCCATCCGTAATGTATATGTACACTCCTTTTTTCTTTACCCTTAGGTTGTATCATACTCATGTTTCACCTTCGGGGTCTGCCCTTGCCTCGATTACATGAGTCGCACATTTCGCATTTTCTGCTTTCGGCGCTTGACCTAGACGATTATGGTTCAGGAACGTTTGGACGAGGTCCAGCCAGGTAGTTGGACTCTTTCTGCCTGCACGCTCTGGTCGCTCTCTCTACGTCGAGTAGTCGGAATGATTGAGGATAAAAGCGGCAGAGATGTAAAACTCCAAAGAATGAGAACGACTGAGGTTACCTAATCCCACCCTTCTTCAGTTCATGTTGAGGAGTATAGGCCAATCAGCTTATGTTCCGCGCGATGTGCTGTCTACGATGGAACCCTTGCTATCCTTTATCAGATAACTAAAATAGGAAATAATGGCTTGATGCGCCACAACCGCCTGGGCCATGGCGCATCAATTCATATTACGTTCTGCTTACATTATTTTGTACTACATCCTAGCCGTGGGCCCTATTTCTGAGGCAATGCATCATGGGCAGACTTGCACACCCGCGTCAACGCCACAAACTTCACTTTCCATGAGCAGCGCAAGAAATATGGAATCAGATAATCTTCTTCATGGTCCTATTTTATCTCGCTTTAATATCCCACCATTAAATGCCTTCCAAGTTCCCGCTCTCTCAACTCGTCGCAAGGTCTCATCGCTAATCCCCACATTTCTGGAATCGGTGTCAGAGCCGCAATATATACCCCACTCAAGCAGCCCTCAGTCTGCTACATCCCTTCTTAGCGGGATATAACGGGAAGCTCGAGGTAGACGAAATGAAAAGCCTTTTCGCCGTCTACTGTGGCATTCTGCTGCCCGGTTGTGCATTACTCGACAATTATCCAGGCCATGACATTTGGATTGTCGGTTTACCACGGGGTCATCGTGCTCTACCTGAGCTGGATCAACAACATAAGCGCCTTGGCATTCTTTATGTTTGTTCTGGGAGACCAGATGATGTTTCATCAGCAGGAGAGGGAATGGTGGAACAGAAGAGTCGAATTCCAGGAGAAGAAGAAGGAATTAGATCGGGAATGGGGATTATTGACACCGGCAAGCCCTGAATGTTGAAGCAACATCCTCCGAGAACTGGATGGGATAGTGGAAGAGTTCGGAAGTGCGGAAAAGAGCGCTAGGCCGGAGTATAGCAAGGCCTAGGGGGGGCGACTGGACATTTGGCCAAACGCTAGCCATCACTCTAACAGTGATTCCCTTAATCGATGTTGCCAAATTCGTGCGCTTGAAGGCCTCGCAATAATGTAATTGTGGTATTCCCGTACGGGAAAAACACAACCGATCACACAAGAACAAAGCTGGCCATTCACTATCAAGTCAGTGGTGGCCCTACTCCTTTTTCATCTCGTTAACAAATTTATTCTAGATCCAATGACAATTCTCTAATGATTATCCGCAGTTTGCGTGAAGCTATATCAAGTTTCCTCGATTCCGACTTGCCTTCGTTTGATGATCTATGCTCAGTTCCCCTCTTCTGTGAACCCAGTCCCTCGAATTCACTCACTTAGACTCTTTGTCCCTTCGTCGTCAATTTCATACCCTCCCCAGATTTCGTTTATTTTCCTCATTCTCTTTCACGTTTCCCATTGTTGGTGTTCCTCCTTTTTCCACCCAAAGGGGAGCGAAGCCAGGATCTTCTACTATGTGTGGAGTGTACGAGTATAGAATTTTGTATGAGTATAACGAAAACGGCAACGGAATTTAGCGCTCCTCTTACCTTGACAAACGGCGACGTCGGACTGAAGATTTAGAAAGAGTGTTTCTAGCCGTAAACTCATCAGGATCGACATGGCTCCTCTTTCGTCAGGTCGGCTGAAATGCGAGACGTTGAGGATCGAAAGGCTGTTAAGGAGTGCAGCGCTCGATATTATAAGCTGATCATGATACCTACAGTGCCATAGACTACAACGCGTGGTGGGACGTGATACGTAAGGAGAGAAGGACGACGAAGGACGAGACGAAAAAGAGACCAGACCAGAAACCGAGGAACGAGGAACGGAGGCGGCGGTAGTGGTCGCCGGAAGGGTAAAGAAGAGGAAAAGGGGCGGCGAGAGGTAATTACGGAAGAAAGGGTGTAAAAAGGTGGGTAAGGCGGACGGATGGAAGGTAGAAAATGAGGGAACGGGTGAAGGTTAAGTGGCGTTGGATGACGATGGTCGAGCAGGTTGGGTGTACTTTTGATCATGCGACGAAGCCGCTCAGGGAGTGGGCGATTGAAACTGTAAGGTGAACTTCAATGGGGCAGCGAGAGCGTCTTAGGGAGGAGGAGAGCTGTAGGTAATGGGCAGGTGAATTCTCTTTCTTTTTTTCTGGTCGCCGCAGTGCATATATGCGCCCTCGAGGAGGTCACAATGGCGATGTTCTGCACTCTTATTCTACGACTCTCAAGCTACACGATCACAGATCAATACAACATCAATGCACAACAGAACGTGCTTACGTTCAGTTTTCGTCGCTCCGCTCGTACTAGTCGAGCTTGCACTGCTCCCATTCGCGAGATGCGGGTCAATCGCCTCCGATGTGCCATTCGCACCCGGTGTCCCCGCCCCGCTCCCACCGCCCTGCCCTTCGAAGGCCCCGGTACGGAACGGCGGCGGGCCAATGATCGACCTATGGAACCTTGCCCGGAAGTCGTTTGCAACTGCCTGCGCCTGTGCTTGTGCTTGTGCGGCAAGTTGTGCCTGTGCCTGCGAAGGGTCTGCGGGTCCCGGGCCGTTCGGGTGCGGGAATGGGTGTGCGTTGGGGTCGTGTTGGGTGAGGTCGCGAGGGGCGTAGGGTGGTGGTGGCATTCCTGGAGGTGGCCCGCCGTTCTTCGCTACGTGCTCGGCGTAGTGCAATCGGCGCTGGGAACAAATGAGATAAGATAAAGCCCGAGAGAAAGAAGAGAGTAACCGTACTTGGTGGTCCCATCTGTCCCATGCCTCAGCGATGATGGGTTCGAGAGAGGCAAGCTCCTCGTTCGTCATTGCGAGTGTCCGTAGGAGATGCTGCTTCAGTAACGGTGCGCACGAGAACGACAACAAAAGCGTCGAGGCGAATGTCTGCCCCCCGAGCGGCGCGCCCTGCGGGAACGGTGGCTCGTGCACGGGTGGCTGCCCCGGGTGGTGCGCCGGGGGTGGTGGCGGCTGTGGGAGCTGCTGCTGGAGCTCGGGCGGGAGGACCTGGTGGTACTGGCCGTCTGGTGCGGCGCGGTAGTGGACCTCCTCCATGCCGGGGATGATCTCGTTGCCCATGTCGAGCCCGAGTTCGCGCATGCGCCGCTGTTTGACGAGCAACCGGTGCTTGCGCTGCCGCTCGCGGGCGGCTGCTCGGACCCGGTCTCGCCGTATGATCTCCTCCGCCGTCAGTTCCTGCTGGGAGTATTCGGCCTGGGCGGCCTGTTGCGGGGGCGCCTGTTGGGGCTGCGGGGGTGGTGGTGGTGGTGGCTGCTGGAGCTGCTGCTGAGCCTGTTGTTGCTGTTGGACAGCGACGGCGGCTGCTTGCTGCTGGGCTTGCTGCTGCTGGGCCTGGAGGGCCGCTGGAGGTGCGTGGCGGTTGGGTGGGTGCTCACTGTGAGTGGCGACGACGTACCAGCATTCCTGCGATCCCGCTCGCGTTTTCTGCGCTGTCTCTCCGCTGCCTTCTCCCGCTTGCTCTTCTGGCTCTCGGTCTCACTCTCCCTTGTCCGTCTGCGGGACGTGCTCGATGTCTGGACGCCGTCGTCCATTGTTGCTGATCTCTGAGACTGATGGGGCTGGGGTCACCGTGAAAACTTCCACCTGGATTCTATTGCTCGCTGACGCTCTCCTCGACGCAGACAGCCTCGACGTGAATCTGTATTCTGCTCGGCGTGATGCAGCGTGACCTGCGCGTCGGTTTGAGAGGCCTTCCAGTGACAATTTCGTGACGAGCAGTGACGGGAGGTGGGCGAAGTGCTGTCACAACGAGCAACAACATGTTGATAACACGGACCCCGTGGGAACTTCCGCGGCTATCCGCTTCAAGCTGTCTCTGACACCGCCATCCACCTTCATCCAATTGTTCTAGTGCCATTCATGGCATCGGTGACCTCCTGTCGTAGGCTACACATTTGGCTGTCTCTGGAGAGCTATCGATACAGGCTCTGGTGCTTATCTCGTTGATTGAATCAGCAGGCTTCGGAGTTTCCTGGCCTTCTCAGCATTCTGGCCCCGTTTACAGATTGAAAAATGACCACCTGATGATTGAATTTTGCCAGATGTTGGACTAGAATGCGACAAGAGGTTTATTTGGGCTAATTAACACGGATTGTTCGCTGACTTCAAGAGGAGGACCTTCGATTTTCCCAAGAACGACAGCCGGTTGAAAATGAAGGGCGAAAGTCCAAATATTTAAGACGGCTTAGACTGCAACTTGATTTGAACGTTACCGCACGACTCCGACTACGGGGATGGGTGTTGTTGAACTTCTCAGCATAAGCGGGACGCAAAGAAGCGCAAGCAACTGAAGGTTTAAATCAAGAGAAAAGGCTGTGCGGCACCCACATTGCGCCCATGAGCGTCACTTGGATCATCTTGGGTTATTAAGGCTGTGGGTGGATCGGCTTATGCACACATAAACTAGACGACTTCTCCATCCCACATCCCAGAAGCCACAATGTCTGCACAACAGCCAGCAGCCAACACCCATATCATGGACTACGGCGCAGTCATCGATCCTACCATCGACAAGGTTCGTTTTATTTGCATCTTGCCGCTTGCATGAGTTCAAGGTGGAAGTGACGCCAGGAACTGCCTTCTCTTTTGACATTGCAGAATCCGGAACACTGGACTATCGAGCGTGACCCTCCTCCAGACATCGCAGTCATCACCTTCACCAACGAGTCGATCGGATTTTGCAGCTACGACCCACCCAAGGGGTTCTCTCCTGAAGAAATCTTGCGATTCCGTGGTGCGAGCGATTGCTTGACGCTCGACAGAATTACAGAATTGATCAAGGAGAGAAACGAGAAGGGGACGTTGGAATTGAGGGGTGACGATAGGTTCAAGTAAATTGCAATTTTGAGTGGAAGAAGAAAGGAATCTAGATAACCAGCGCCTCGATCCATCGGATCCGTATGTCCCAGCTCGCTGACAATATGAAAAGCACTTGTGTGGCGTCATCCCATCATTATGAGCCCTCTAGCGGAACTATCCTCCTGGACGCTCGAAGGGCCCCGTTCAAAACTCGAGTTTCAATCAGTGAGGGTGACACAAGATGGTGTAATCGAGGCTCGCTGATCCAATGTGATAGCATGGAATTCGGTCGCAAAACGTAACATGTTGCACAGACTAATTCTCTATCGCCTACTTTGCTCTATTTGCAGGCGTAAAACGCTTCGAGTCTCGACACCACCGTCCGCGCTGTATACTGTGTGTGCGTACTCCATGCCTCTACACTTTAACTCTTCCTGCAGGTGCACGAGTGGCAAGCAACTGGGGAGCCCGAACCACGCATGTTCTGCATCGAGCAGCGCTTGGTGGCCGCGTTGTACTTGCACCAACCCCCGCCGTCCTTGCATTGCTGATCATTGCAATGTTTTCCGGTGACGTTTCCGTACGAGCATTCCGCGTCGTTAGCGCGCGCCTCAAGTGCTTCGACTTCAAGGGAACTGATTCCGGTGCTAGCAGACCTAGCGACCACGGTACCAGCAGCTCCACTGCCCACAGTATTGGCAGGCCTAACGGGCACGGTTTTGGCAGGCCCAGCGGCCACGGTAGTGGCAAGAGCGAAGGCCAAAGCTGCGAAGGTGGCGGAAATCTTCATTCTGAACTGAAAGGAAATCAGCATCATGACGGTTAAAGCATAAAGACCAATTAAAATCACCTTTGAGAGAAACTCTGGTGGATCAATGGATGATATTCGGTGTGTTATTTGGTTAGCTCTGTAAATCGGAGTAAGGGCGAGTTTTCTCTGCGGAGAGAAGGGACTCACTATGCGCTGTGAGTGGGAGATGCGATTCTGAGGTGATTTGAGCAGAATGGCATGGTTTATATACAATTTACACGAGAAAAAAACAGTCCTGCTCTCATTTCGTGAAGGAGTTCGCAGACCTAGCGAGTTGGTCAACCGGCGCTTGTTACGAGATAGCTAAGCGAATTTGGTTTTCATTGGAGTAGTATTGGACTCTGGTGTTCAGAAATGGACTCCGCAGTGCACTTCCAGAAGATAAAATCCTCGATTCTTCTCGCCACCGACCCATATGACATCTATGTAGTAGGCGGAGGGGGCGTCATATTCGTAACGCTTGAAACAAAGCGAGACCTCGGAGGTCATCGGCTTCAGCCGGCGCTTATGTCCGGGCGCTTCCCGAGCGAATCAACCTAAATAAACGGCGGCTTGCTCTGCCCTGGCTACGTTCGAAGCCAAGAAGGCTACTATTGGAGTTTACGATATGTGAGCACTATAAAGATGTTTTTCCGTGGCGTCGTGTTGACCTAGAGTAGAAGCGCGTTGTTTTTCAACTGCTCCCTTTCCCTGGTGGAATCTGCCGGAATGGATGCCTTCAAGTCAGATATGCAGTATACAAGGTGTATTCTCGCGAAACGAAGCAGCTTCGTCTAGAAATACACTGCCATTGACAGAAAGTTAGGGCTATTGAAAAGAAAGTATGTTTCGCGCGACTCACCTGGGTTTCACGACTCCAGAATTCCTCCAGAAGCCGATCGCGCAGGAAGGCGAGCCCTGCGATTTTTTTGAGGAAAATAATGATTCTCTGATCAATAAGGGCGTGACGAGGACGTCCACCTTGAAGTTGGTGTGGATCGTGAGGGAGAGTGCAGACGTTGGGATAGGCTCGTTACGAGAAGCACCGCCACGAATGCCGGGCCGTGGCTGGTTCTCACACTGGCATCCATTCGCTCGTCCAAAAATCCTCTCATTTACGTCTTGTACCGATACCCCATTCTTTCATTAGGATCGAAGGAATGCGACGGCGGCCTTATCTGACGGCCTGACAGTACTCTATCTTCTTTAGACGCCTAAGGCGAATGCAAAGTGAGTAATGATACGCATGTTTATCTCAACTTACTTGCTATGAAATCGTTGACCGCAATCTCTCGTTACCCTCCAGCTTCAGATGCTGTCGTCACTTTTCAGGTCGTTTTCCGCCTGTGCACCTCCCCGCAGTTTCTTGTGCTATGCACCGTTGGAGACGTCCCCACCCCACGAGTTCAATTGCGTTCGCCCTGCTGCGCCTCAGTGTTGAGCGTACCGGAGCTTCCATCAAGTACTTTCGTCGGATGTCTGCTTGCCCTTTGTGGAGCTGCGAGCTGGCTGGACACAGCTTCAAACCTGTGCCTAATCGCGGGCGTCTGTTTAGATAAGACCTATGGATTCATCACAGCGTCCGACGCCAAAAGTCTATTCTCCGCGACGGACGCGCAGCAGCATGAACAGGCATGAACCTTGCGATGAGCGCGTACTTGCACATGCGATTGATGGAAATCAGCAACTACGGATCTCGCGGAAACAAGATAGAAGCTGCGAGTCATGGTCTTCACTGCAATCGGAAACGCAGCGCAAGCAACAGGGCTGGAAGGAAGGTAGGAGCAGCGTGGTATAAAGAGGGCGTCATCAACGTCAACGTCAACGCCGCCATCCTCCAGCACTCCCCCTGTTTCAAGACACAGCACTTCAAGACTTAATTATTATGTCACTCAACGTTCTCGCGATTGGAAGTTCTCGTAACATCGGATATTACTCGTCCATCAGGCTCCTCAGTCAGTGGCGAAGTGTTTAGTTTTCGTCCGTCGTTGATGCTAACCATCCTCTCATTGGTCTCTACTCTAGATAGCGGAGCGACCGTGACGTTCCTACTGCGTTCACCGGGCGTTTTTGACGCAGATGAAACAATCCAGAAGTACATCAAGGCAGGAAAAGCTCATCTTGTGAAAGGAGATGCACTCGTGAAGGAAGACGTGCAACGCGTGTGGGACGAAGCGGGAAAACATGGCCCGGTCGACGTACTGCTCTTCACAGTCGGTGAGTAACCTCTCTCATCGAAATCAGCACATCCCAGAAAAGTCATCTGACGAAACTTTGTACAGGCGGCACACCAAAGTTCAGCTTCACAAAAGGCTTCGTGATCGATCCCGCCAACCTCGTCACCCAATCTCTCTTCAACGCACTCTGCACGATACCCACCTCCGAGCCCCAGCCCCGCGTCATCACCATCTCCTCAACGGGCCTCACACGCACCTCACATGCCAAGCTACCCCTCCCTCTCAAGCCCTTTTACGGCCACTTCCTTGCCTTGCCTCACAAGGACAAAGTCGGCGCGGAACGACTCGTGGCACATTGCGCTGGATGGTCGTGGAATACGAAGGATGATGGCGAGCCCGAGGATGACATTATGGGCGCCAAGGGTGACGAGTGGAAGAAGAGGGAGGGGCTACCAGCCGAGGGGAGCCTGAAGAGGGCTTTGGTCATCCGCCCCGCGTTCTTGACCGATGGCGAATGCAAGGCTGAGGACGAGAAGGAGAAGAAGAAAGGCAAGCCGGGGTATCGCGTCTCGGAAGGGGAGCTTGGCGGTTGGACGGTGTCGAGGAAGGATGTAGCGCATTTCGTCGCTGATGCGATCCTCAATCGGTGGAGTGAGTTTGAAAACAAGCGCGTCAACATCGCTCATTAGCTTCTCTCAACTCGGACTATTTCTTTCTGTACCTTCCCTCGGTTTCTCCTTCATTACTTCTGTATTACCTACAGGATTGCATTGTATCCGATTGTCATGATATTACACATTTCCTCATGCTCCTTATCGCTCGAGTTGCTCGACGCGATGCAGACTGTAGGATCTAATCTAATCTAATCTTCGCCAGCAAACATTCGTTCATTCTTTTCTTCCTTCCCTCTACTCCCCTTCCCTTCCAGAGACCGCGGCAAGTAATTCCCTTTAAAAACTAAAATCAACTATCTGACAATACCAGTGAAGCATTTAGTGTTTGCTGAGTCATGCTCGTTAAGCTCCTCCGCCGACTGAAAGTGGAGGACAAGGCACGTAGCACAGCGGGGCCTCGAGATATTTCTGCCACAAGTCCTGCTTCCCAACCCACCGACGAGAAGATAAGCGTCTTAAATGACCTAAAACCTTCAAGCGAACAGCTTCTTTTGCGAAACCCTCCTGCAGAATGGCAACTTCCTCTACCCCCTGACATCATCCTCTTGATCCTCGACTATTTCGTGCAAGACATGACAACGGTTTACAATCTTAGCTTGGCTTGCTCCAGCCTCGCTAAGATATGTCGCCCCTACCGCCTGAGCACCGTTTCTCTGAATATCCAAGCTCGCGTCACAGTCGAGGATTTCGCCTGGTCTCTCCGCACATATCCCGACAGAATCGACCTCATTCAATCTTTCCATATTACCGGGGATAACCCTCCTTGGTATTCTACTTCCGTAGATGAGCGCCTATGTTTTATTCTAACCCGGCCTTATCTGAAGCTGAAACGGCTGGAGCTCTCAATTGGTGCTTCGTGGGCATCAATGCCCTCACAATTTCAACACGCATTCCAAGTACTGTTTGCGCGGCCCGCCCTACGAGAAATAGTCTTCGACCGCATGCGAATTTCCGTCGATATGCTGGCATATCTTCCCCAGATATCCTCCCTGGAGATCCGAGGAGACATTTCCTGGCCGCCACAGCTTACTTCAGGTATCTGCGTTCCAACGCGTCTCCTCGTTTACGATCGCACTCCAGATGGATATGTGATCCACGGTTTATTTTACGAGGATTCCCCACTGAAATTGACGAAATTGAAACAGTTGGAGACCTACGTTGCCAACTTAGATGCAGGTGCCCTTGCCATTCCGCTCAGAATGTGCGCAACGACCCTAACGTCACTGCACCTCTACACTGGCAAAATGAATTCAGGTCGGTCCCTATTTCTCATTGGAACATCTCCAATAAGCTGAACCCTGGACTTCCTGGTAGTTCCGAATGCCATTGACCTCGGATCACTCACGCAGCTGGAAGACATTCTACTCACCTGTGACCTCACCGAAGCCCCGACATATCACTTTTCTCGAGTGCTTGATGCGCTCTCCCGTCTCGGCCCGGACCCATATCCTGTCCACAATTTGATCCAAATCACGGTCATCCTACGCAAAAGTCGTCTTGGATTCACGAAATACCCCAGGTGGGGCCTCCTCGATGCCCTCTTCGCCCCTTCTCTAGAGATACGATGGCCAAAGCTCGGCAAAGTGAACATTCGCATTGTAACTGAGGATAAGTCCGACGAGAGGTGGTATGTTCAAGGGTCAACGGAGAAGAAAATCCAACCCTTGATGCCCGTTCTACACGGTGCTGGGGTATTGAACATCCATGCGTCGGTCGAGTCTCTCGACCTTTGGCGTCTTTGATTCTCGGTGGAAATGTCTCGTAGCGCCTCGATGCTCCCATTGTCCCTTTCCTAGTGCCAGTGACATGATCCCCGAAGTTGCGCATATATATGCGTTGTAGCCAAAGACAGGCAAGATGAGAGGGTGGTATGTTGATGGTTCGTTCGAGAAGATAATCTATTTACACCATAGGGGTGCGTTGAAAGTCCGTGCTTCAACTAAATCTTTAAAATTCTGGAATCTAGAACTTCTTCGTGCACAATGTATCGTGGAGACATGGTAGATAGCATTCGAGACCGGAATCATAAATTCTAAGTGCTTTGTAATCTAATCTCCAGCCGGCCTGTCAGGAATGATTAATCCTTCAGTCGAACTTTGAACACGAACTCTCAAGCTGTAATACAGACCCAACCAAGGTACGTGTCCGAATCTAAAGGACAGTACTTAACACTCGAGATCTCATGGATTATCCAGTGTTTCCATGGTTCGCAAATTCTTTCGTCGCCACGTGGAGCGTATACGTAGGCCTGTCATCCACCACCTCGGGCTAGGATGGCAGTTTCCCCTCCCACCCGATGTCGTGTTGTCCATCCTCGACACATATTTTTTCCAAAACCCTACAACCATTGGCGAACTGAGCTTATGCTGTCACAGCCTCGCCCAGTTATGTCGTTCGCGCCGGCTCCGTGCTCTTTCCGTGGATACCCAATTTCTCGAGCCACTCCAGGACTTTGCCACCTCTCTCCGCAGGTATTCCGACATGCACGAGCTTATCCAAGACCTGTGCATTGTCGGAGACAACATTTCATCCTTTCCGGCTGCATTCGCGGAGCAGCTCCACTTTATCCTCACTCATTCGTATCCAAAGTTAACGCGCCTGGAAATGTCCTTTCGGGCGCCATGGTCATCATTTCCTAAACAATTCCAACATGCCTGCCATTCAATGTTTAGTCAGCCTGCCTTGCGGGAGGTAGTGTTCAACAGACTATGCATCCGTGTTGACATGCTATCGCATCTTCCTAACATATCTTCCCTGGAAATTCGAGGGGATGCCGACCGACAACCGCTGCCGCTCTCCAGAAGAAGCGACTCTTGCTGCACACCTGAGCATCTGGTCTTCTGTGATAGCAGCAATACCGGCATCATTACTAGAAATTTGTTTCACGAGGAGTCGCCCTTGAAGTTGACCCGCTTGAAGAAGATGGAGGCCTACATTTCCAATGTGCAAGCGGGTAGCCTTGCCTTGCCGCTCAAAATGTGCGCAAGAACTCTAACATCTCTGCATCTCTACCTTGGTGCAAGTGGCAACGCAAGTCCGTTCCTTTTTCTTAATACCCGCAATATAAGTACTAAAAACGACGCACATTGGAAGTTCCGGCTACAATCGACTTGGGATTACTCACTCATTTGGAAGACATATTGCTCACTTGTGACCTCACGAAAGGTCCCCAGCATCACTTCTCTCAAGTCCTCGATGCACTTTCCCGTCTGGGCTCGCAACCAGCTCCTGTCCGACATCGACATTTATTACAAATTACCCTCGTCTTTCGCAACAACGATATCGATTTTATAAAATACCCCAAATGGGACCGCCTCAACGCGCTTTTCGCTCCTTCTCTGGAGACAGAATGGCCAAAACTTGCAAACATGAACATTCACATCATGCACGAAACCGTACGGGACAGGCTGAGGCGGTACGTGCAATACTCGCTCAGAGAGAAGATTGGTTCCCTTATGCCTGGTCTACACCATGCACGGATATTGAAGATCCATTCGTCGTTTCAATCGCTCGAATTTTGGGACTTCTAATTACTCTGTACAAACCTTCGTGCTCAACAGAATATGCGTTTTATAAGGCTCACATACTTCTTGCGCAATTATGTCACTCAAAAGTGTCATGACTGCTCTCAATGCTGTTATTCTTAGTTCCGTGGCCCACAGTCATAATGCTGACCCAGTGACCACATCTCATCTACGATCCATCGCGATGACCTAGGTGTTCCGTGTCCTTCTGCTCATACAGAAATGTACGTCGATGTCTTCCTCGGTTCAAAGAATAAATTCACTGGCTTCTTCAACAGCTGCAAAGTTTTTCGATGTTTCACAGGCTGCAAACTGAAGAATGCCAGTGCCCTCCATGACTTCAGAAGACGAAAGACTCTGTTTCGTCCTTACACGCCCCTACCTGAACCTAAGGCACCCAGAGTTGTCTTTTAGGTTTGTATAGGCGGCAATGCCTCCTCACCTTTAGCAGGCATTCTATGGGACGTTCTCATTACCCAGTCTACGAGAGATCGTGTCACTGAACCAAGCGCGATTTTATGCCGGCACGCTTGCAACCCTTCAGCGCCGTTCGTCACTCGACATTCGCAATGATACTTCATTATAGCCATGGTCCCCCCCTTTGACTGCACCGATAGTCTGCGTAGACCAACAAGCCCCGAGAGGCGGCCGCTCAGGGCTCGGCTTCTGGTATCTCTCACAGGCCACCGGGAATCGATCTGATTTCTGTTCCCATTAAATGGTCACTTTACTGAATTTCGAATAGGGGGTAAAGTATATGTATTCTTTCAGTCGCCTTTTTTCCCCCGGAAATTGTTCTTAATAGGGTCTGGCCGCCTAATCAACCAAATAAGAGCAGTCTGACTACTCAGACGCCGAGGGTCCGCTCAACGCTTCCCCTAACCACACTGGGCAGAGTTACCCTGAACACGAGCATTTGATTGTCCACGTCAATTCCTCCGTTGAACGGAACGCCAAGCGAGATTCCCTGCGTGCTGAGGAAGTCGTTGTCAGCCTATGAGTTTGCGAATCGACGAGGACGGTAAGAATCCGAATCAAGCAAGCAAATACTCGGACGCACGGCAGTGATGAGGAAATAATCAGCTGGGAAAGCGGGGTCGCCGATGGGAGCTAAAGCGAGTGACTCCCACTTGCCGTCGAGCAGCGTCGGATCGTTTGGTTTCCCGTTGTGCAGCCCGAACCGCGCGAGTTGAATGGGGTCGACATAATTCACAAATGGAACATACGTGGCTGGAGTGATACTGCTATCGAGCACCCCATCCACCGCAATCGGATTTGCAGGATTATCGAATTTAGTCCCGTGGATATCGGTTGCGTGAACGGTGGAGAACAGGTCTGCCTGTCTACCCCGAAATTAGCGAGGGATTAACTCTGAAGATACAGAACTCACTTGTACTTCGAGTTGTTATCGTCCCCACCCCTGCCATCGCCGTCCCTCGAGAGCGCCAAGAACTATCCGTCTCCGACGAAATGAATCTCACTGCACGATCGAGTATTCCCTTTGTCGCTCTGGGGCAGCGGAACGACCCACTCTCCTTTCAGCCGTGGGTTGACTGCGGGATTAAAGACATCCCATGCGAAGAGACGTGTGTATCTAGATGTCGCCTTGGAGGAGCCCCCGTCCTGAATTGTGGCGGACTGAAGCATTGCAAAGAGCGTGTTAGTGCTGGGGTCGAATGTGAGCCCTTCGAAGCCTGTGTGATATCGATATTGAAATTTATAAGTAGTGAAAGGCGGATGTATTCAGTAGACGCACCTTGGTTGGGACTTCTTCCCGTGACAGGATCGGCAGCGGAGGTGAAGTTGAAGTTTCCAAACGCGTCCCGAGGCAGAACCGCATCTGGTGGCTGTATCGCCCGTACTAAGTTCCCGCTACTGGAGAAACGGTAGATATACGGTCCGTATTCGTCACTGATCCAGTACCTATCCAACCGCGAAAGAAATGATGACATGTCAATAAATCGGGCAAGTATAGTGCAGTCTAAAAATAACTCACGTCCCGTCCGCATTCGCCACCATCCCCTCAACGTCCAACACAAGCCTATTTTTCAGTTAGGTCGATCCGACGATGGGCATGGCTGGATCGAGGAAAGGGAACTCCTGAAAGCCTGTCTGAGCACTCCGCACGCCGGTTGGGTCGAGCCCGCTCGTCTTCTTATGCTCGCGCTCGAACTGGAGGGTCGTATTCCGATACTGAAGTTGAAGGGTCTGCTGAGCATTGGAGAAAGACAAATTTGCGGTCCCGTAATAAGGCGAGAGAACAAAGTCGATCTCGTGCTGTCGTGCCTGGTAGTCCACTGTTCCGTCTCTATTGATAGTCAGGTAGCATGCGGCATGGAAGGCCAGAAGGGCCAGTTGCGAGCAAAAATAATTAGAGATGAAGGATATTCATAGAGCTCGCACGAACGGAAGCAACGCACACGTTGAACCCGCGGTCAGGTCTGGCTACGATGGTCCCAGAGAAGGCCCCGTCGTTCGCTGTCTTCCACGTTCCCCGCTTGAATGCAATCGCACCGCCGTAGCCTCCGAGTGTGTCCCCAGTCGATTCAACAAGGTTGGACTGGATGAGGCCGAAGGCTACGATTTCCTATAGCAGATTGTGAATGGATCACAGAAATATCTGAGGTCCACGAGAACGTACTTTGTTCACATAGACAATACCGTCGAGGATGGCAGTAGCAACAGTCACATCGTCGTTCTGATGCGTTCTGTGATAGATTGGGGAAGAGCGCACATAAATCGTTGAAGAGAGGAGTATCAGAGCAGCCGTGAACGTTCGCGAGGAGAGCATTGTTTGTGAAATTCGTGGCCAAGAGAAAGACAGAAACCACTTGAGTATGGATGGGCGGCCGCAAGGGTTTCAAACGCCCTCGAACGCAGCTATATATCAGGCAAATCGAATGGGAAAGTGCCTGCGTCGACATCAGCCTTTTAGCCCGTACACTGAAATGCCATTGGCACCGTCCGACTCTGATACGGTCAGCTGCACACGAAGTTCAAATTGACCGAAGGCGAGACCGGTGGCCAGGGGAAATGCAAATTTCCGTTTAGATGATTTACTTTAAATTTGACTCCCGTGGGTGCTCCACTTTGTGGTGCAATATACAATATTTGCATTGTGGATGCAACTGGACGGCCATGACAGCAGGAGCATATACGCTAGAGGTGGAAGGAGCTTAGGGCGCCATTCATATTGATTGAAGATTCATCAAGAATACTCATCTCGTTTGTAGTCCTCAAAGCTGATCGATCACAGTGCATTGTCCCAAAGAGAACATCGCCCATACTTTCCTGTCCGAAGGCTTTGCGTAACCTTATCGAGGTGTAACACGACCAGGTCAGGCTCTGTGCGCGGATTGTGATCCTCTCGCACCAGGTCCTGGAGAGGGTATCGGTGCATGTCATCAGCGTTGGCGCGGTACTTGGGCGAACTGCAAGAAGGCAAGAAAACTGACTTTCGCACAGAGAGAATCTAATCTAATCTGATTGAAGGACACTATAGACACTGGCTTGGCAGTCTCCTTCAATTAATCAGGGCTGTCTAATCAGGACTGTCTTGACATATTTACTGACATCTCAAGCTCAAGAATCATCAGATAAACCCACCTTACATCACCCCATAGGCTATAGCAAACGCAACCAAAACGCAACAGTCTCGTTGCCCTAACACCCGATTGCACGACGCGAGATGGGTATTGATAAAGGATTTGATCTCTTTCCGCCTCTGACTGAATCCGAAGTAGACAAGGTAAGTACACTGTCTGATCATCCAGAGTAATCGATGCCACCAAACTGTCTGCAAAATCTAGGGAAAGTGGGCGGCTTTTCTTGACGAAGTCAAGGAAAAATACAAAAACGACAACAACGTGATAGTTGGCGAAATGGGCACAATCGTTGTCACGCAGGGCGAATATCCTTTCCTCCCGAAGGATGCACACCGTTTCCGACGCTTCAGTGCAAAAATTAGCGGATCCCACGCCGGTCATGTCGAGAAATACCTCTACGAAGTTGAAGACATTGCGAATAGGCATTTTTGGGCGAGGATTCATCCTTGGAATGAGCTGATTGACGATGCAACGGAGAATATGCGCTATAATTGGACCGAGGTGTATGAGGCTCGGTTGCCTAATGAATCCACGTTAGCTATACGAAGTGTGAAGGCAGGGTAGTCTAGGTACCACTTCTGTGACGATTGGTATTCAACAAAGTTGGTTTAGCTGGTCTGAGCGAAGTCTGACGTCGACGCCCGCACCCTAGCCCTAAGAGGCTAGGATATGTGAACACACGAATACTTTAAGCCATATCTGCCGAGCACCATATGCATATCGACCTTCGGAGCTGGGGCACCTGCCACTTGGTCTGCCAGACACAGAGGTAGTGCTGATCGCCGTTGAAGACATGACTCTCAGTGTCCATTCCCCAGCCATTTGTTTCATACTCGTCATGTTCACACCAGCGTTCGTTGCCCTGCCGGCTCCGAAGCAGCTGGACAAAATCCTTTTGTGCATCAAGCTCAAGATAGAGACGAAGAATCCCCTGTCTTTCGCGTGATATGGCCTTATTGGTGACCAGAGACGCAAACCCAGTGCCTCACGCACCTATTTGCGCCGACATGTTTCCTGTTGGGCGCGGTGAGGAAGCAATGGCCTAGAGGTTCAAGGAGAGTTAGGGTTGGAGCCTTCGACACGGAAGTACACGAGAAGCGACTTGAGCAGATGGAGAGGCTGGACTTTGAATTGCTTTGTATCGAAACATCGAGAGGAAGGGTTGCCCCCCATGCGCCACATTTCCAAATGCAGCGCAGACAGCGGCGCACAGCTTCCGCCTATATGGACAGCTCGATCACCACCAATTTCTGGCCTTTAGTACCTCTTACCGTACTCCGATAACCACTTTGTCGATCCCGCAACTCCAGGAATTGGAAGTTAAGAGAAAATAGGGTATCTGGTATCTACACATCTTTCATAGGAATTCGTGAGAGGCGCACTTCGAGAGGTCGAAGATGCCCATATCGTTACGCTGACAGTGAATAAACTAATTGTAAGTAAGTACTTCGGTACGGGTAGAAGCTGGCACAAGGGAGTGCTTGGAAATTGGATGGGAACAGTGTCATTCAAGTTGTTTTCGACCGCAAGATAGCGTCCTTCACAACTGGGAGCGAGAACGAGGGTCTGAGGAGTGTGGTATGAAATGAGAAGCGGTAAGATGAAGGAAGAAAAGGCGAAGGATAGATAAAGCTTCAAAGAAAGTCCGGCAATGCACTATAATTCAGAAGGTGGAAATGAAAATGGGTAATGAGTACGTACAACGGAAGTAATGGTAGCAGGTCCATAGTGAGTACGCAGTGAGCATGGGATTGGGTGGGGGGTGAGGTCAGTCTTAGCAAGACATCCAGCCAGGTCGAATATTTGCACCGGCGCATTCTGAACGTCGGATATTGACGCCAAACACCGCAAGCCTGAAAAACCGGGAGAATATAGGATATATGGTGGTTGCATTGCAGAGAGAGATAGATTCGAGTCCGCCACAGTGGTAGAGGGTCTCAGCATAGTCAATATATCTTTGTTCACATCTCCGGAAGAGTTTGGAAGAACTTCGCCTCCACTGTTCGACGGATTTCTCATTTTTTAGCATCTCTGGCGGTAGTAAGTACTTATCTTGATCCAGGAGGATAGCCTGTCTTCGTTTCCGGGTCCCTTGGCATGTTCTGTTCGTCCAAAGGTGATGCAAGAATGTGCTATTTTGGTGGTTGAGATTCGAGAAAGGTTGAGAATATATTAATATGCCACAGCCTTCCATTTGGACTGCGGTGAGTGTATCTGACTCAGCGGGGGCGGTGCCGAATTTGGCAGGTGCATGAAAGTGCAAAGTTGAACTCGACGGCTCTCATTTGAACCATGGACTCCTTCGACAACTTTCAGAACGACTCAGCGTCGTCCTACGGCGGTTTCAACGTCGTAGACGACACATCCTCAGTATACACCGCGAATACCCAGGACAACGCTTCCTCAGTCGATCTATCTAGCCTCTCGCTCTCTGAGTACAACGGTGGATCTTCTGTGGGCAATGGACATGCTCACCACCACCACCACCACCACCACCACCACCACCACTCTTCCCAGAATCAAGCTCGCTCTGGAATAGATGAGGACTTTGACGCCGTCCTAGATGATCTGAAGGACGAGTCTGCCGTGGATTTGCCGCCCCACGCATGCAGGTACGTCAACTTTTTTTTCTCAGCTGGATAAGTCGTTGCTCATGTTCTACTGTGTACTAGCTACTGCGGCATCCACTCACCCGCATCTGTTGTCAAATGCTTGGTTTGCTCCAAGTGGTTCTGCAACTCGCGAGGAAACACGTCTGCATCGCATATTGTCAACCATCTTGTGCGCGCTAAGCACAAGGAGGTCATCCTCCACGCCGAGTCTCCTCTGGGCGAGACAACTCCGGAGTGCTACAACTGCGGCAGCAAGAACGTCTTCATGCTCGGTTTTATCCCAGCCAAGAGCGATACTGTCGTCGTCTTGTTGTGTCGGTGAGTTGACCACCTTACCCGTCACATTTCGAATAGAGTTAGCTGACTACCTGTCTGACTGCGCCTTACAAAGCCAACCCTGTGCGGCCATTTCTAAAGATATCTCGTGGAATGCCTCGCTCTGGGCACCATTGATTGACGACCGCTCTTTCCTGTCGTGGCTCGTCAAGCCCCCAAGCGAGACCGAACAACTTCGTTCCCGCCAAATCTCCTTTGCGCAGATAAATCGTCTTGAAGATCTCTGGCGCGAGGATGCCAATGCCACCCTCGAAGACCTTCAGAAGCCGGGTGTCGACGACGAACCGCAGCCCATCCTGCTCCGCTACGAGGATGCATACCAATATCAGAACATCTTCGGACCTCTCGTGAAGATTGAAGCTGATTACGATAAGAGGTTGAAGGAGAGTCAGACCCAAACTGATATTACTGTACGGTGGGATCTTGGTCTGAACCAGAAGCGTGTCGCCTGGTTTTGTCTCCCCAAGCTGGAGAGCGGAGAAGTGAGGCTGGCCGTTGGAGATGAGTTGAGGTTGAGGTACCAAGGCGAGCTGCACAAACCTTGGGAGGGTGTTGGCCATGTTATCAAGATTCCAAACAGTGAGTAGTTTTTACTAGCTTGCCTATCATGTCTAACTGAAGTTGATAGATGTCTCCGATGAGATTGGATTGGAGCTGCGCCGTACCGACGGTGTTCCTGCCGAATGCACCCACAATTTTGCTGCTGACTTCGTCTGGAAGTCTACAAGCTTCGACCGCATGCAGCTTGCGATGAAGACCTTTGCTGTCGACGAGAAAAGTGTCAGCGGATACATCGTAAGCACCATGACCGAAATAGCGCATATATGCACAATTTTGACATTCTTTCATAGTATCATAAACTTCTTGGACATGAACTCGAACCTCAGTCCCTCAAGACTCAGATGCCCAAACGCTTCTCGGCCCCAGGCCTTCCCGAACTCAATCATTCCCAAATGTATGCGGTCAAAAGCGTGCTCCAGAAGCCTATCAGTTTGATCCAAGGACCACCTGGTACCGGAAAGACTGTTACCTCTGCCTCCATCGTCTACCATCTCGCGAAGATGAACCCAGGCCAAGTCCTTGTCTGTGCTCCCTCCAACGTAGCCGTCGACCAGCTGACGGAGAAGATCCATGCCACCGGGTTGAAAGTCGTTCGTCTGACTGCGAAATCGCGTGAAGCCCTCGACTCGAGCGTCGCGTTCCTCACCCTGCATAACCAGGTCGCCAACAGCACCACGCATGTGGAACTCCAGAAGCTCATCATGCTGAAGAATGAGCAAGGAGAGCTAAGCAGCAACGACGAGAGGAAGTACAAGACGTTGATCAGACAATGCGAGAAGGAGATTTTGGCGGCTGCGGATGTGATTTGTTGCACTTGTGTGGGTGCTGGAGATCCGAGGTTGAGCAAGTTGAAGTTTAGGACGGTGTTGATTGACGAGGCTACGCAAGCTGCTGAGCCAGGTACGCCTTCTATGATGTTTTGAATTCATCGACCACCTGCTGACCTCTCTTCCTAGAATGTATGATTCCTCTAGTTCTTGGTTGCAAGCAAGTCGTCCTCGTCGGAGATCATCAACAACTTGGCCCTGTCATCATGAACAAGAAGGCAGCCCGCGCCGGCCTCACTCAATCCCTCTTCGAACGCCTCGTCCTTCTCGGCAACCGGCCAATCCGCCTCCAAGTCCAATATCGCATGCATCCATGTCTCTCTGAGTTCCCATCCAACATGTTCTATGAAGGCACCCTCCAGAATGGTGTCACCGCTCCTGAACGTCTCCGGAAGAACGTTGACTTCCCGTGGCCTGTACCCGACACCCCCATGTTCTTCTACCAGAACCTCGGCCAGGAGGAGATCTCGAGCAGCGGCACATCCTTCCTCAACCGCACCGAAGCCTCGAACGTCGAGAAGATTGTGACCAAGTTCTTCAAGTCAGGTGTGATGCCCAGCCAGATTGGGGTCGTGACGCCATACGAGGGGCAGAGGTCCTACATTGTGAACTATATGCAGTTCAATGGGTCGTTGAAGAAGGATCTGTATAAGGAGATCGAGGTGGCGAGCGTCGATGCGTTCCAGGGACGGGAGAAGGACTATATCATCCTCAGCTGTGTGAGGAGCAACGAGCATCAGGGGATTGGGTTCTTAAATGACCCGAGGCGGTTGAACGTGGCGTTGACGAGGGCGAAGTATGGGGTTGTGATCCTGGGCAATCCAAAGGTCTTGAGCAAGGTGTGTTTCGGGATTGATTGCTTTCCTATATTTGTTGACCTTCCTCGTACCGTCTAGCACCCTCTCTGGCACTACCTCTTGACTCACTACAAGGAGACAAACACACTTGTTGAAGGCCCTCTGAGCAACCTGCAAGTCTCCATGATCCAGTTCAGCAAGCCCCGTCGTACCCTCATGAAATCGATGGAGCAGTTCCGCAGGCATGAGACCACAGCGAGAGATTTCCTCCCTACTGGACCAGCTGGGTTGTCACCCTCTGATCGTAAGTACCTACCTGTGCGTTGTGCCAAGTGACTAACCACCCAGTTTCTTCAGGCCGTTCTGGTACTCCAAGTCGCTTCGACGCCAGCTTCTATCGCACCCATGACACCCTCGGATACATCCCTTCAGATGTCCAGTCCCTCCGCTCCCAGGCAACCTATTCGTCCGGCCTGCCCATGTTCACTGCTCCTGGCCCGTTCGGCGGAGCCATCCCTCGCGGCGTCAATGGCGCTAAGCGGAGTATCTACAGCTACGCCTCCTCCATCGTCTCACAAGACGCCGGCCCGAGCGTCACCGATGCGAGCAGCGTCATCGGGCTCGGTGAGCGAGACTCCAAGAACGGGTCCGGAAGCGCCAACGGTGTGGGCAACGGGAACGCCGGCGTGGGGGGCAACCCGAACATCGCATACTCGCAGAGTGACCGTCTCCGCCGCCGATCGTCGTTTGGCTCTGCGTCGGTCGCGGGCCAGAGTGACCTCGGCAGTCTCTCGCAGTACGATTATAAGAGCCAGGACGACACGACAGACTTGGATGATGTGAAGAGCCAGTATGCAGGCACGCAGAGCGGGGTGACGGTGTTCTAGCACTGGATCCGACCCTCTTTGAGACGAGTTGCATGGTCCTCGTGAACACTTAGGTGTTTGCCCGGAGCTTGGATGCATCTCTCCCTGCCTTGATTGCTTGACTTGACACATCCCACCACCTTCTGGTGTGGTCTGTGCGAGCACGGACGTGCTTGCGGGTTGGCCGCCCACCCTGCGGCTCGCCTACACGGATCCGCTGTGGGGTGGTGCTGCACATCGCTACCGCTTGGGTTGGACATTGTCGCGTTCTGTGTTGCCCATATGCTCTGCATTATGGCGCGTAATGGACTCGACGCCCGCCCAACCACCACCAAACTACACAACAAAACCCAACTTTCTTTTTCTTCTACATACCCCTGGCTGCTCCGACGTTCACACTCGGGGTCGCCTTGCGTCTCCGACCGTCACTGGCTCGTTCCTTGGGCTGGTTTTGTCCTCATCACTGTCGCTTCTAGTCATCCAACATACGCGATGAGACACGATGTCGAGTGCATCAGCTGCGTCTGGCGACATGCTCTGTACGCGCTTACATCAAGTCGCCCTTCCGCGTTCATACATAATCCTGATGTTTGCAATCGTGACTGTTCGGGTGGTATCTTTTTTATTTTCTTCTCCTCCTTTGTCGATTTTTCGATCCTTTTCATTTCGTCCGAGTGCACGGCGTGCAGAACGTTCTGTTTTCATTTCCTTCCAAGTTCCATCCTTTTCATTTGTACGATACTACTGCTTACTCGACTGTAATCTCCTTTTTGAACTTTACCTTTATTGAGTTGCGGTATTCTCTGTTCTGGCGAGACTTTGCTGGTTTTACGGAGTTTAGAAGGTTTAACGTAAGTGAAGAATAAGACGAGCTGGCTTGACCTCTTGCCTGAGCGATGTAGTAAGTGAGCATGACCGAGTGATGATGAGATAAGGTACGCCGGATGACGAGCCCATGTGGAGGTTCCGTGCCAAGAACGTTGTTCAAATTTCCATCATTTCTGTTTTGACAGACCTGCCTGCTCTCTTTCTATTTTTCTCTGCTCTCGATCTTCACACCGTTTCTTTCTGACTGTCGCCGTCGTTGTCTTCGTTGTCGTCTTTCTCCCGCACCTCCTCCTCCTAATCACCCACTCAAGCTTTTTTGTTTTGACTTTTGCGTTTACCGCACCGCCGCCCGGATACCCAAATCCCCATCCGGTCGTCGGTTCAAACACCAAGCACCAAGCATTTTTGCCAACGGGGGGACCAACCAGATCCTTTACCCGCTTCCACCACTACGCTTACGAGTCTCCTACGACCTCGCCACCGACGACCAACACCAACGCAGCACGACGACGACGGAGCATCCAGCACAGCCCTCACTCTCGTTAACGCTCTGCACGACAATCATTTGCTTCTTTTTCAAACTTCGTTGGCTATTTACCGAGTGGTGAAGGTTCTTTACCCTCAGCCCCGCAGCCCCCAACCGCCAGCCCCCTGAAGTTTACGGCTTCCACCTAGATCCTCGATCCGAGAGCGACATACGCTCAATCCCATCGGAAGATACCACGCAGACTTATTAGAGAGAAGAAGAGGTGCGGGAAAAGGCCGCACAAGTAAGACACCTGCACGCGACGACGAGGGTTTAATCGACGGCAACCTCCCACCTCCCACCTTCATCTTCGTCGGACGGAACACGCACGACGAGTTCATCCCTCCTTCATTTCGATTCGGGCTATCAAGGCGCTATCTATTGATCGAGGGACGACAACGCCCTCTTCAAGTGTACATTCGACGACACAACACGAATTTCCGTTTGTACTTGGGCCGACCAACCAGGACCACCGACAGCGAAACGACCGACACCGACCGACATGGCAACTTACGTTGTTGAAGCGCTCGACGAGCCCCGCATATACTCACACTCGACTCCGAGCACCCACATGAACTCCACATCACAAGCGCGGGTCCTCTCGCTCGACATCCCGATGACGACGACGCCAGTGCACAGCCAGCCCCCGTCGTCCATCGCTGACTCTGCGCCCCCCTCGCCCAGCCCGCTTCTTACAGGCTCCGACACCTTCATCCCCTCGTCAGGCACCAACTCCGAGATCCACTCACGCTCGTCGTCATCGGCGACAGCTTCCACCTCCTCGCTACCCGTGCCCATCCGCTCTGAATCGCTTGGGTCGAGCGGGAGCGGGAACCCGAACGGGAGCAACAGCGCCCTCAACGTGCGGTTCGCCCCGCTCCCTGAGCTCGCCCCGAGGAAGAGGCGGAGCGCCGCCCCTCTGGGGATGGCTGCGCGCGGGCAGCTCATGCGCCGACGCCGCGGGGCGTACGCCGACAACCCGAACGGTGCGAACCAGGATGGGCCCGGGGTGAATGCGGACGGGAGCCCAGTGATGTCGCCTGCGTACGCGGTGTCCAACCCGCTCTGGACGGACGAGGAGATCGAGCAGCAGCGGAGGAGGCTGGAGGCACTGGCGGCGAGACATGCGCAGTATTCGGCGAGTGCTGCGGCCCTGGATGCGAGGCATGAGGAAGAGGAGGAGATGATGAGGGAGCGGGAGAGACAGGAGAAGGCACGGGCGAGGCAGGAAAGGCAGAGAGAAAGAGAGAGGGTGAAGGCTACCAGCAAGGCCGGCCCGGAAGGAGGGGAACAGAGGGGAAGAGGGAGAGGACATAGGAAGGAAGGCTCGCAGGAGCTGGACCCCAAGTTCGGCACGCTCAGCCGGCTGATGAAGGGTGCGAGTAAGAGCCTCTGGCGCCGCGCCTCCAACAAAGATTTGGCTATTGACGAGGCGGAGAAGAGGAGCCGATTGCTCAGCGGCGACGAGAAGAGGCGCCAGTCGAGCACTGACCCGGCAAACAGATCCGCGTCACCTATTGCTCCGCCAACACCCAAACCCCAGGTCCCACTCAGACCAATTCTTGCGACAATTCCGTCGAATGGGCAGGCCCAGCGCGGGTCTCCGCCTCCAGAGGGTCAGGAAGACTCCGACCTCGACCGACGGCGGTCCAACGGGACTGACGGCACCGAAGACTCGTCAGACGGCCATGACGACCACTCGCAAGGGCACGACGAGGAGGGCGGTGTCTGGGAGGAGGAGATCGGGCACATGTTCAAGAACATCGGACAGACCGAGACGATCGTCGAGGGCAATGGGCGGGTGTACACCAAGGTCGAGATTTCTGCGGCTGCGAACGGGAATGCCAGAGACGAGTCGCCGTCGGTTCCTGGGACGCCGACGTCTGAGCTTGGCGGCGCGGAGGGCGATAGAGGCGACAGGGGAGATAGAGGTGCAAAATCACTCGTCAAGTCGCTCACTTCGAGGACGGCGAGCCCCAGTCTTCCGATTGTCAATGGCAAGGCGACCAAGTCATGACACGTCCATGCAACGTTCGGGCGTTCGAGGTTTGTGGGTTTCTGTTCCATGGTCGCGCTAAGGCTTGCGTTTACTTTGACTCAAGACCTGCGTGACTATGTTCGACCCAAGCGCCCGTCAAGAAGACCCAGAAGACGCAAATCGAGTCGTAATGACTCCACTACGACTCTTCCGCTCTCCGGCCTCACCTTCGACTTCTTGGATCGACGGCTCCTCCGCGTTGATATTGCTCTTCTTGGTTCTTTTAATGACCTCCAACAACGCTCATCTCACGATGTGTACCTTCAATCATTGCTCTCGCGTCGATCACTGTTTTATACCTCCGCACGCTCTCTTTGATTCTCCTTTCTCTTCTCGTCTCTTTCCTCCAACAATCTACTACCCAAAACGGAACCTCATTTTCCTTACATCTTACTGGTACCCTACGACGCATTTATTCCCTTTTTTTCATCTCGTTTCAATTTCTCATTTCCTTGAACATCTTTTTCTGTTTCTATGTTTTTTATTTACGGTATTTATGAGTCCACTCACAGTCAGTACTGGTGGGCTGCTCGCAAGCTACAAGTACCTTAGAACGCTATCGACCTTACAGTAATTAGCTTGTATATGGTGGAATCAAATGGGTTTTTCGGAAATGCTCTGCCGATGTGTTGTTGACGTCGATCTGGAGGTCATTAGGGGTGTACGTGCGCAGACCTGATCCTGAGAGGATTAATTGGACCCACAACTCGAATCTGGAACAGGCTTGTCTCCATTGTCATCTTCACGTACTCGAATTGCATTTTTCAACTTGATGGGCTTGGGATGGACTATCTCCCACAGTGAGTGAACAAGACCACGGCAAATGCAAGCGCACCAGCTACTTTTGTGGCGCACGTTTGAGCTTCGATGTAACGTCTGGGCAGTACACGACAATGTACGCAAGGCCTTTATCATTTCCGCATGCCGCCGGCTGGGAATATTCAGATGTCATTTGTGAAGGCAGTTCAAGTTACCACCTAATACGATTATCTTCGGGCCCCGAAGACAGCCTTGTTCCACGTCGTCGTCGGTGTAGAATCGCCGTCCGTCGAGAAAAGACCCTACGACACCCTCGACGCTCGATCGATGTCGTCACGAAGATCAACGCTGATGGCTAAAGTCCACAGGAAGGCTCCGGCGTTCAGAGTCTCCGAGGAGAGGATGGAGCAACGGAAGTAACATACCAATGGAAGATGGAAGGGAGAGGGCAGTAGAGGCCTTGTGCGAGTGCGCTGCTGTGCGCTGGAGGAAAATAGCCTTGGGGATGCTGGGATTCTTGGATAAGATGGGGAGACAGAGTTTCCGTTCGTTGATTTTATGCGAGATTGGTGCATTGGTGCTGGTGGCCTGCACATTGCGCGAGAGGGTAGGTTTCGGAGGCAAATGTCGAGCGTAATCAGATGCGCTACAAATAGTCAGTACTATGCAGTCCTGGCTTGTCGTTTAGAGTTGGACTGCGAAGAAAATCTGGAGATTTGTGCATTGAGTTGGGATCGAATAAGGTTGACAGATGGTGATTGTGCCTCGAGCTTTTATTCGTTCGTCGGTGAGGGTGTAAACCAATTGTATACGAGGTTTTACCAAGTCTAACTGCAGAAGGATAATATATAGGAGGGAGAGAGGCTGGGGTAGACGCGCACTCAAGGGAGATAGCGAGGTGGTAGGTAGATTCTTACCAGACGATAGATCGCTTGAAAGAGGTCCCGAGAGGGCTGGGATTGTGGTGGGATGGATAAGATAAGTACATAATACATGAAAGACCGCTCAAGATAAGAGGATTTCGGGTGCAGAGAGCAAGAAAGGGCAGCCTCCAGCAAGAGGTCGAACAATCGTATCAATAATGCTAAGAGCCCCGAGTATCTGCCAGGAGGATATAGCTTGGATGGTCAAGATGGACCGGGAATTTGTCTATACGGTTCGCTTGTGGTCCGAGAGAAGAAGACGGAACGGAGGCCCCGGTGGATCATGTCATGAAGAGGCGGTAACGAAAGCATCAAGACAGCCTCGACGAGCAGAATAATGAATATCGAGTGATGTTCCCCGCACTGTTGCACGCGGGTTAGCAGGCTCTTCAAAGGTCGACGTCAGAGGTTTGTCGATCCTGTAGGATTCAGGAGACTCAGTCCCCTTCGAGGGTTAATGGGCGCTCGTTTATTGTTGTACGAAGCATAGCCTGTCGCAAGCAACATGTAGAGAAGAACCGCTTTATGATGATCCGCACCGTTACGGAGATTATGCATCGGTTGAAGGGCACGCAGAGAATTGGATCCAGACAGCGGTGTGGCAAGAGGCTGGAGAACTGAATTGATGGCCCAGCGCGTGGCGTTATTTGTGCACGCTTGGCAGTGCCGTCTGCGGCATGAGCACCGCCACGGTGATGCCGACCATTCCGGTCGAGTGCGTCGCGCTGAGCGTCGTTGGAAATTTCTAGCAGAGGAAAATCAAGAGACTGAATTCACGTTAGAAGAAACAATTTCAGGGATTTCCTTGGATTTCCACCGGAATTATCGTGAATTGGGGAGTGCTGATGTAATTTGGGAAGCCTCATTTTGTTGTGGCTGTGGCTGTGCCGGTTTCTGTAAAAAGAAAAAGATTGTTGAGAAAAGACAAGCCAGGGCCAGTCTCCTTTCCGCTTTCTGCCTTGTGCGGCTGCTTCAACCAACGCTTCCAGCCCGCCCATCCCTGCTCCGCCTCCTTATAGGCTTCTCTACTCACTACAGTTTCGCGTCTTTCCGTTTGTCCGTTTGTGCAACTAGTAAAGCCGCCTTTGTTCTCGACCCCAACGTGACAGACATCGACGGCGGCGAGCAAGCATGGCGACAACGTGTGTGCCTACGCCCACCCTCACCCGCACAGACGTCGGCACCTCCCAGAGCCTTTCCACCACCGTCACCGAGTCAGTAACCACCCTCCCCGGAGAGGTCTCCACCACCGTCTTCCGCACATGCACAGTCCCCGCTGGGGTCACCACCACATGCGTCCCGACGCTCACGACGTCGGTCACCACCCTCCCAGGTGCGTACGCGACTCTATCGCCCGCCATCTGGCTCACGCAGGTTCTGCGGGCGGACAGGGAACACGACGACGGTCGAGGTCCCGGTGACGGTGACTATAGATGTCCCGATTACGGAGACGACTACTCTATGGGGCTCGTTGTGCTCGACGCTGCCGCCTGACACGACACCGCCCCCGACGTCCACTACGGAGCCCCCGCCGACGACTACCCTTCCTCCGACGACTACGAGCATCAGCGAAACCTCGAACACTTCAATGCTAACGGATACGTCGACGTCGACTTCAGCTTCGACGGCGCCGAGCGTGACTCAGTCTCTGGCGACGGACCCAGGCGGCGGGTCGTCGAATAACATTGGACCCATCGTTGGGGGTGTTGTGGGCGGTGTGGCGGCGCTGGTGCTGCTCGGGTTTCTAACATGGAAGCTGATGTGCGTCTTCTTTCATTTCCTCCTCTTCACCCTTCTGACAGGCATCTCTTCCCCTTCTTGCTCTCTTCTTGCCCCTTCATTGTCCGAAACAGCAAAAAACAGTCACGGTTCGATGACTTCTTCAACCGCGGCGACGATGACCGGCACACCAACAGCTCCTCGCCGTTCAAACCCAATCCGTCAACCGACAAGCCTAAGCCGTACGACTACGGCATCCTCGGGCAGCAGCACACCAACCCCGTCGGGCTCTCCCCGCCCAACTCACCCCCAGCGAATCATGCCACATTCGGGACGAACGACATGGGGTACCAACCCTTGGGTGGGGGCAACGACGTCGGGTACCAGCCGCTGGGTGGCGGGAATGATGTAGGGTACCAGCCGTCCCAGCCCCCGCCGCAGCACATCCGCAACCCCTCGCTGACGCCGCTGCTTGTCGGTGTTACGGCCGCAGCGACAGCGGGCGGGGCGGTGGCAGGTGCGGCTGCAGGTGCAGTTGTTGCGGGCTCTTCAAGACCTTCCACGACCTCCAGTTCTCATAATGGCCTGGGGCCGGTTGTAACCCACGCCAGTACGAGCGCAGGGCAAGGGCATGGGTACCCGCCCCAGGGGTGGAACGGGCAGCAGCAAGGACAAGCGCAGACACAGGCGCAGGGTCAGCAGACGCTCACGCATAATATGAGCGTCGGGAGCAGCCTGACCGCCAGTTCGCAGCCGTCAGTGTACAGCACCGCGTCGTGGACCGCCGGGCCGTCGTCGAGTGGCGGCGGTGCGGGGCTGAGTTCTGGCTCCGGCGTTGGGTCAAGCTCGGGCATGAGCAGCATGCCGCCTGGGGCGTACAACCCCGGCGTGCCGGGCATGGTGCCCGTCCTCGGCGCTGCGGCGGGCATGGCCGCTGGCGGTGCTGTCGGTGCTGCTCCGCGTCCCTCACAGCCGTCTCATCCATCCTACTCCTCCCAACATCAACACCAAAATCAACATCCGCCGATCCAACCCGTCCAACCGGTGCCACTGCACCAACAATTCCAACAACAGCAGCGCTACGAGGACCCGTTCAACCGCTCGGGCAGTCCCGTGAGCATACAAGAACAGCGCGTGCTACAGGTGACGAACGCGGACCCGTCGTCTCCCTCGGTGGTGGGCTTTGGAGTTGCCGGCCCTTCCGGCTCAGGATCAGGCTCTGGATCGGGCGTAGCGTCAGGCTCCGGTGCAAACCACAGAACGACCATGTCATTCGCCGGCGTCTCTTCCTCCTCAGCAGCAGCAGCGGGCCAATCAACGTACTCCCCCTACGCCGAGCTCGGCCTAGCACTTGGCGGCTCCTCCTCTTCCTCATCCACAGCGGCGACCTCTACACCGCCAACGTCTACTGCACCGAGTGGCACACCGCCAGCAGGGGCGGTGGACGGGAAAGGCAGACCGCTGAGGACGCTGGGCGAGAAGGCACCGCTTGTGCATTTGGATGGGGGGCAGTACCAGCTGCCGGAGCCTGGGCAGCAGACGGGACCTGCGCCCCCTGCTTATGATGCGTAGTGCCGTTGGGTGTTGAGTGCTGGGTGATGGGTATTGACTGGGTCGGTTGGATGAATGAATGGTCGGATGATGCTTGGGTCGGATCTTTGGGTTACTTACCCTCTCGCGTTCAGCCGAGGTGTGCGCTCGATTTATGGTGGTCGATGACTCGCTCTTTTCTTTTCTTTTACTTTCTCGTTGCCTTCGATTTTCTTCTTTGCATCATGCTTCGGGGATGTGGTATACTGGATGGTTTCAAAACCTTTGTCTCTCTTTTTCTGTGCTTCATGTTTTTTCTGTTAATTGCATGTCGGGATCCAATCCCATGCTCACTGCGTACTCACTATGGACTTACTACCATTACTTCTGTTGTACGCACTCATTACCCATTTTCATTTCCACCTTCTGAATTATAGTGCATTGCCGGACTTTCTTTGAAGCTTTATCTATCCTTCGCCTTTTCTTCCTTCATCTTCTCACTTCTCATTTCATACCACACTCCTCAGACCCTCGTTCTCGTTCCCAGTTGTGAAGGACGCTAGCTTGCGGTCGAAAGCAACTTGAATGACACTGCTCCATCCGACTCCTGACTATTCCAATGTGCCATCTACCCGTACCGAAGTACCTACCTACTTACAATTAGTTTATTCACTGTCAGCCTAACGATCTGGGCGTCCTCGATTTCTCGCAGTGCGCCTTTTACGAATTCCTATGAAATTGTGTAGATACCAGATACCCTTTTTTTCTTCCTTCCAATTTTCAGAGGCGCCCTGCAGACCAAGCAGAAATGCCGATGGGCTTAGTTCGGGATGGTGGGCCAGATCGTCGACGGAGTCCACTGACGGGGTGGAACCGCGGACTAGGTGGCGAATGACATCGCCGAGCGATTCTGTCGATATAAGGGGAAGCTGCAGACTACGGCCTTGACTATAATTGGAAATGTGGCGCAGAAGGTGCCTTCTACGCTATCGTGTCATCGCCGGCTCTTGTTGGAGTCCTCAACTGGAGGAGATCGACACATTTTACCAATGGAACTGAGGTGTTGAGGACGAGGAGACAAAAGACGATCCAGCGTACCGGGTGAACAGCTGAGTGGATCCGGGAAGACATCAGGCTGAATGGATCTAGATGAGACGGGTTCGAGAACAAGTGCGTTCAAGCGATGTGGGTGCATTACGGTTCTTAGTGTTGATGGTCAAGATGCGGAATAGCAGGGGGCAGCAGAACTGGGCGAGGCTGGCACAGGTCGTGCTCAGAGCGCGGATGGTGTGTGCATCGTACACGAGGTAGGTGTCAAGGATGAGGATAAGGATGTCGTAGGGAAGTGGCGGCTGCCATTCGTAGCTCTTTGGTAGCTTGAAGCAACGAATTGGTTTGGTCTTGACGAGGTCTTTATAGACATTCAAGCCCAAGGAGTCGAAGCGTGGTTATTCGCACTCTTTCACGTTCCCATCTGGAGATGTATCTGTCTTATGAAAGCCAGGGCAAGAGTAATATTCATCCTTGCCTCTGAGTTTGAGGCGGTGAATTAGTTTGTTGAACATTGCAGCGTTGACGTTAGCCCCGAATTTGCACTGAGGAGTCGACGTTGACTCGACGACTAGGAGGGGCCAGGGGCCAGTTGTATGAAACTGGAAAAGATGCATATGTAACAGTGAGAGTGTCAAGATGCTCGACATTAGAGACAAAAAACTTTCGATTCAAAGATGAGCTACATTACCTCAGGCTCCGAATGTCGTGGAACAAGTTGTTCGACGTGGTGGTTGACGGAGAGCGCTCAAAGGCGCGCCTTGCCAGTCTTTCAGATAAGATTAGATTTCCTCTTCGTGTGAAAATCGGGCTTTTCACTCTTGACGCGTGACGCCCAATCGACACCAAGTTTCTTCCAAGTGCCTCCACATATGTCTGTTACAAATTCCTGTTTATTTTCTTAGTCTCGCTTATGGGACTATCTAAAGCCAACTTCGAACCCTTGGCACGCCCCAGAAAACCTCTGATTCATGATCGGCGCCGTCGACGATAGCCCCAAATTTGGCAACGAAAATCCTTTTCCAGACGGGCCTTCACCTGCAATTTCCCTGCGAAAGCAGGCTTGCTGCAACGCCTCGCCTTGCCCTGTACCTTTCGACCGCTTTTATCCGGTCTGAATTCCAATTCTTATGAATCTGCTCTGCTCATTTCTGCCAAGTTGTCGGTTCCCATGTCCTCCGACGCAGTGGCGATCTCGTTCATTCTATGACATGTTTACCTTTCAAAGGGCGCCAAGAACAGCGCTGGGACCAACAATTCAAACGTTTGTGTTGGATTGACGTAGCCCTTGAATCAACGACGCTGTATCCTTGGCCCGCCCGCGCTCTCCTCGAGGCAGTTGACTCGTATCGTAATGACACCCTGGCTCGTTGCGTGTTGGACTGTGTTTATTCATTGTGCCAGACTGAATGGGCGTCCGTTCATATACGGGCCACTGCGCCTGCCACTGGATCCTTTCTTCCCCTTTGATTTGGTCTTGAGTCTCAGTGGTACCGTTTGGGCAGTGGGCGCTGTTCCGTTAAACTTCTCTTCGGATCGTTCTCTCTCCTTCCTCCTTCCTTGAACTTTCTGTAAATATTTCGTCCCTCGTCGTGCAATCCTGAAAATCCAGCCCATATGTCGACGATATGTTCTACGACCCCAACGCTCACCCAGACAACACTCATCCCAACAGGCCAGTTGATCACGACATTCACGAATATCCTCACCACCGAGCCCGGCATCGTCTCAACGTCCTACCTAAGCACATGCATCCCCTTGCCCTCGCCGAACACCTCATGCTCCAACTCGTACGCGACATTCTATAACACCATTCACGGTGCGTCTTCAGCGCCTCTCGATATGCTTTTCTCCAGATTTCTAACGGTTTGCACCATATGTAGGTCCGGTGTACACAACGCAAGTGCCCATCACGATTGCCGTCGACGACTACATCACTCAGGCAGCCACGTTCTACGGCACGATTTGCACCGTTATCAATGCGCCGCAGCCTCCTGTCGTCGTTCCCAGTCCACCGGTCACTCCAAGTCCACCGACTCCAAGTCCACCGACGCCAAACCCTCCGACGCCAGCGCCTGTGACACCCTCTCCTCCAACTCCCAGCCCGGTGCCACCTCCAACCCCGAACCCTCCAAGCCCCAGCCCGACCGACCCCGTTCCTCCAGTACCCACCCCAAGTCCACCTTCACCACCCTCATCCACCGAGCCGGTACCCACTCCAACGACGAGTGCCCCAACGAGGACGACGGAAGGTACGAGGGCCGTCACTTCGCGTTCGCAGAGGACGGTCTCGCCTGGGGCAACGGGGACGGCGATCGGTGCGCAGGGCCTGGGAGGAGGGGAAGAAGGAAAGAAGAAGAGGAAAGTCCCGATCGCTGCGATTGTTGGAGGTGCACTGGCAGGGATGTGGGCGGCTATTGCGTTGGCGTTCTTGGGGTGGTTTTTCTTGTAAGTTTTCTGTTCGTTTCGTTCCAGCGGCCCAAGGACCGATTTTATATTTCTTATATATCTTGAATAGTATCAAGCAAGCTGGAGGCGCTATTAAGCTATCCGGTAACGGGAACAACGGGAACAACACCAACGGGCAAGGCAAAGAGGATGTACTCCTCGATCCTGCCTACCAGCAAGCTGTCGGCCAACAAGTTACTTCTCAAACTACCTCCCAACCCCAATCGCAGGGGCAAAGTCCAGGTCAAACACAAGGTCAAGGCCAGCAAGGACCGTTAGACGGCCCCGAGCGCTGCGAACCCCAACAGTACAACTTCAACGACCAAGGTCAAGCCCAGGGATACACGTACCAGGCGCAAGGAACGATGTCCAATCAATACGCAGCGGTGCCGACTTCAGACCCGGGCGCTTCGTCCGCAGTGCAGGCGCAGGTTCAGGCGCAAGGACCGATGCAAGGGCAAGTGCAGACAGCTGGAACGACGGGGACAGAGCAAGCCCAAAACCCATTCCTGGACGCTTACCAGGACTATCAGGACTATCAGGACTATAAACCCGACCGCCTCCCCAAACGGCTCGAGCAGAAGCTGGCGCAGAAGATCGAGGAGCAACTTTCCTCCTCCTCTGCCTCTGGTTCGGGCTCCGGTCCTGGGATGCAAGCCGGCGCTGGTGTAAGCGTGTCCCCATCGTCTACTTACACTGCTAGCAGCGGCACCAGTGGACGAGTCGGAACGGGGATGAGCCAGTTACCGCCAGGCGCGTCTCCAGCGCGCATCGGTACAGCGGGCGTCGGCGCTGGCGCTGGGCTTGGGTATGGCCAGTCATCTGCGGCCGCTGGACCCCCGTTGTATGCTCACAGTCAAGCGGCGTATGATCCTTTCGTTTCCCAACAATATATGCCGCACCTCGCGGGACAGTACAAGGGGTATGCGGAGCCTTCTCGAGGGATGTAGAGGTATTTATGATTGCAAGACTTTAGGATTGGGCGCTCGAACGGACTAGTTGACTGGAAGAAAAGCCTTCTCGATTGCATTCTTTCATAGCGTATTGGGAGGTTGTAAATTCTCAGCATATCACGGCGACTTTCTAGTTTTTTATTCTGTCAATGTCAAAGGTCTATGCCTCGTTGCGACCACGCTTCTAGGCCCCCCTCATGTTCAACGCGTTCTTTCCCCGCCGGCGTTTCGGAAACGGGACGCGTACAAGATTAAACGTGGCCATGTCACTTAGACCGTCTGCTAGCGGTAAGGCGGGTATCATTCCGCACCGCCTCGTCCTGACGTACGATGGAATGGAATCCTTGAGAAAACAAAACGAAATGAAAACGAGGGTGCTCGAGAACCGACGTTAGATGACGCACTTTGCCTAGTGATCCGAATGTCTGCTATTATTCCGTTTCCATTCCTTTATGTACATCATCCCCATACCTTTTTCTCGGATATGCCAGTGGATACTGAACCTCTAACTCAAAGGACGAGAACCTCCTGCTGCACTCTTTCTGCGCGATTGGTGACTGACTCAGAGGGGAGAATTGTCGACACCTATGTTATCCGGTGGGGGAAAATTCTATCCGAGCTCTGCCAGAATAATATTTACCCTTCTCTGCTACCTAGACTACGAAAACAAGGGCATGGGAATGCGTCACTACAAGATGACTTGAGCGCCTATTGTTCTGAAGCGGTCACGTGATGTAACAATGGCATGTCATTGTTCTCTGCACGCGGCTCCCTCATTGTCTTTTCTCGCCTCACACGAGTTTGTACGCCCGCCTTCGCGATGGAAGGTGCGCCCAAACACCCTAGAACGACAATGCCCGGCCTCCCTGACTCCGCGTCTCTTATAATGGACCCTCCTCTTTCAGCCATTTTGGTATCCTTACCCCCCTCTGACCACCCGACCACCTCCTACGCCATCCAGGCTCCAAGGGCCCAGTGTCCGCCTCGTTTCCTTTCTTTTATCGGTGCCGGAACACCTCTTAATTCTTCGGACGCCGCATAGACCGACTTTATTACGAACCGTCATCGTCAACGACCACCACGTCCGCAAATTATCTTCAACTTAGATTGTAATTGACCAATATGCTGCCACCTCGCGCAAGTAAGCTCTATCTCTTGCATTCTTCTCGACGATATTCTTACAGATGTGTAGTGTACTTCCTAGGCTTGAATGCCATCCGCGTTCTCAGTCTAATCTCCCTTATCCTCGTCTTCTCGAGCACGATCCTCGTTATGGTCACGAACATCAAGGCTGTTAACGCTTTTGAGGCGGCAAAGGGAACTGATGCAGCGTCATCGATGGTGGACTGCGATTACATCGAAGGAAGCACAGTGCCCAACCAACCCGCTGGTGTCTTCTGGGCCGTCGTTTCCAGCCTCTTGATCATCTTCCAAACCATCATCCTATTCCGTGCGTCACTATCTTCACCCCATCCCATTGCTCGCTCACTGACCGGTCTTTCTAGTCTCTGAATGCAGCTGGCCAATGGCTTTCTTTGACCGGTTCTTCCCCGTCCTCGGGACGCAATTCGGTCTCGGAGCTCTCGGCATCTTCCAATGCCTCATCTCGACCCAGATCCTCTCGCACCACGTCGACGACTTCGCCCTCGTCTCTGCGTTTTTCCTCTTCGCCCTCGGGTGCCTCAACATGCTCCTGGGCCTCATCTTCCGCGAGTCCTCCAAGGCCAAGCGCTCCATCACCTCCTGGCGCGCCGAGGCCAAGGGCATCCTCCCCACCAGCCAGGACAATCGACCGGTGTTTGTCAACGCTTCGCCCTACGTCTCGAATGTATTCCACCCCCACGATGAGAAGGCACACACGTTTGCCCCGCAGATGATGATGCGCACCGACAGCACGGCGAGCACAGGCAGCACCGAGAAGGCCGGGTTTGGCTTTGGACGCCAGGGCGAGAAGGCGGCGGGATTGAGGGGGTTCATCCTTCAGAAGCCTGAGGAGAGCCTGCCGAGGTACGCGAGCCCGACGCCTGTGCATGCGCAGAAGGCGAGCCTCTCGAGAGCACCGTCGAGTGCGAGCTCAAGTTCGAGCTTCTACTCGCACGAGGCTCCGCCGGCGCGACCGATGCCGGGGTACAGGCAGGAGTCGCGCCCCGCCTCACCAGCTGAGGGGACGCCTGCGTTCAAGTCGAGCCCTACCGCCCTTTAAGTGACGAACCGATCAAAACCTACCATCGACCACCACCACCACTGCGACCCCTTCTGCTACCTCCACCAAGAGCCGGATATCTTGGAACTTGGACCACGCCTCTACACCTGGACACCCCATCAACATCTCACGCCCTCACCAAACGACAACTCATGTACTAAACGCCACGCTACTCGAGCCTTCCTTGAACTCTTGAACTCTCACCGCACACTCGTTCGTACACTAATTGTCCCTCCCTCCCGCCTAATCACCTCTATTTCCATTACTCATCACCCTCTGGACTCTTTGTATTACGATACGATACACCAGCTTCGCAGTATTTTTATTATTGCACTTCTGTACATACGCACGTCTGCTTTTGTAGCATATTTAGCCGGTCCTTTTATGGCTGGAGGAATTTGATTCCATTCTATCATTATTTTGGCCGCCTCACTCTTCAGAAGCGCAGAATTGTTTTTGAAAACTTATTGGCGTAGCCTTCAAGTCCAATTAGTCACTGATCTCCGGTAATCGACATTGCCGGTTGCCGGATATGAGTAAACGCCTCCAAGTTCGACCAGCGCTAAACGTTATACTTCGTCCAAGACCACACTCGACCGACACATAGAACCGATAGCGGGGGAGGTTTCAGTGTGCTTATCTGCGACCTTATCGCCAGTAGAAGAAATCACAATCGAGGATGTATCCTCTTAGGTTTCAAAATTTCAGGGCCTAACGACCCGGGTGTTTAGATCGATAGGAAAGACACAAGAAATCACACGGCTTAGAAGGCGTTGGCCGCGCGGTTGTGTTTCAGACCAGACGTTTGCTATCCATGCTAGGTAAAGTATAGGAATTCCCGTTTTCGTCATAATCGCAGGCTAATTTTAAACGGCCCTAGCAGGCTTCCTCCCAATCACCCACCATCTCCCAATGATCACCTTTACATTATCGACGCCTCTATGTGGATTCACTCTGATACCGTGCCTGCTGTTTCTCGTATGATTCTCGGGCCCTTACTCCGACCGAAGGGCGGGATGTCGCAGCGATCGACTATCGACGGGGTGTTTCGCAGCAGCTCCGGAGCATCGAAAGGTGGAAAGGGGGTTTCCTCTGGAGTATAAATTCCTCGAATTTTTCATTGGGGTTCGCAAGCTTCGTCGCTTCTCGAACTATCGCGGACACTATCACCGCCTCGTTTTATCGCCCCAAAACACCACTTTATGAGGCTCGTTTTCTATACCTCACTTCAACTAACATGACTTCAGTGAGACTCATAAAACCCTTCTATTCTTTCTTATCGCCTGATACTTCTTCTCAGTTTGGCGCTAACACTGCGGCGTACGCTGCTCCCCCCACCCCCAATTACGACACCATCTCGCGTATCTGTGCCGCATACATTAACCACCTCTTCGGCTCCGCGCGGTACCCCTTCCCATCCACGCGCTCCATCTGGCAAACCCGCCTGCCCTCCTATATCAAAGCTGCCCTCCAATTCTCCCAGCTCGACGTCTCTATCGTCGTTGCTGCTATGACCCTCCTCGGGCAGTACAAAGACGCCGTACCCGCGAGCGTCGCGTACTACGACGACGCGTACCGGCTATTCATGTCTGCGTACCTCGTCGCTGCGAAGGTCTCGTGCGACAACCCGCGCACGCTCCGCTGGTGGCGAGTCGTTGGCCGGGGCAAGTTCGACAAGGACGAGCTGGTGAAGATGGAGATGGAGCTCTGCCGCGTGCTGAAGTGGGACGTGCAGGTCGACGAGGCGAAGTTCCGGTATTTCCAGTGCATCATCGAGCACTATGCTGGCCCGATAACGAGCGAGGCGATGGGGATCGCTTCGAATATCTACGCGGAGCCTGGGAGGGTGGTGTATGACTCGCCGCCTCCACTTTACCAGGACTCAGGGAGAGACCTGCGGATGGTTGAAGTGGTGGCGATGTCTCCTCTCGGGTCGTTCGTTGGATTGGACGAGGATGACGAGGCATTATTGGAGGAATTGATGGAGTCGCCGACCTTTCGCCCTCTGTCTTTGGAACGCGCACGCCCCTTGCCCACCCCCGATTCTGATGTTGCTCGCCCCAGGCGTTCGCTCAGGCGCAGAGTACTCAACATAATTCTTAACAACACCCGTGTTTCATGATCTATCACTACTTCCTTTACTAATTTCGAATTCTAACATACCCTCGTACCTTCCTATTGCTAATTTATTCTCGTCATTCGTCGTGTCTTAAGTTCACTATATGTTGATGGAAATGCATATCATCCCCAGCCCCGGTCCTAAACGTGTTTTTCTCCCGTACTGAAGCAACCGCTTGCTTGAGGACCCTTGCCTGCGTCTGTAGCTGACTCGTTTTAGCAAGTGGGTTTCCGTATCCGGTTGTTTTCTCCATACTAAACCAAAATCAATCTATCCAGTGGAATTTGCCGTAGATAGGTATCGGAATCACCAAGACTGTTGTCTATTGACAAACATCCCTCCTATCCGTGTTTAGAGTCAATAGCAGAGCCAGAAGACGCAGGGGAAAATTAGGAGGAGCCTGACACAATGAGTAAAACATCAACGTCAGAGGCGACCTTGACCCGTAGTAGACGCACTACTCTCAAAAGACAAGTTGTATAGCGGTATTCTCGAGGCAGCAACGCGGGAATGCAGTCCGGTCGGTTATCGCGTGATGACAAGGTTTGAATGGTTCCAGCGAAACTGAATAAATCCCTGTCTCGTCTCAAGCTCAAAGCAGTGAAATAAAAGCGAGACAGAGAGTTAGCTCACTAACCCCAAAACGAGTACCGCTGGGCCCGTAGTCGTGTTTTGTACAAAATAGTCGCCCGCTCCTCGGAGTTCTACGGTTTGCGCAGCAATAATAGCGGCTCAATGGAGTCCACTTCCCCTGAAATTACAATGGATAGGATATTCACGAATTGCAGAGCTATGGCATCGCAAGTGAGGCATTGTTTAGATCCATGTTTGCTGCTGAGAAATAAGTCGGGAGTGGAAAGTAGTAAGCCTAGAACATGGATCGCGAAATACACAGTTTGGATACACATTACGTTCAGTAAATACACACTATTGCACATGTAGAACAGGTTCAAGTCTAAGGGATATAGATCCTCGAGTAACCTTCCACACTGTCACAAAGAAGAAAAGATGAGCCATGACCCGACAATACGAGAACATGAGACTCACGTTTGACGACAGCAAGGACAACGGTGTTTCGTTGGTGCACTTCTAGACGCAAGGGCTTCTCGACAGTTGTCACACATAGATAGACACCTAAAAGAGGACAGTCAATCATCAGTGCGGGCAGAGAGAGAGGTGGGAAACAACATACCGACAAGGCCAGCAAATGATTTCCCTTGTCTCAGTCGTACAAATTACACAAAGGTGCTGGTAGCCTTGCTGTCTCTCTCTTTGGCTCGCATCGTCTACGTATTGGTCAAATATGGTCCGTGCTCGCCGTGCAGGGTCCCAAGAGTTGTCGTCATTCAGATCATCAAAGTCGTCTCGACGCTGACCACGGCGTTGGAGGTCATGAGGAGAACGCTGGACCAGGGCATCCCATCGTCGGCGAGTAAGGGGCCCAGGCGAGGCACCACTTGCAGAAGCCCCGTGCATGAGATGAGCTAGAACCATCTCTCCGCCGTTGGAGCTTGACCACCCGGCCTCTCGAGAGCCGCCGCTACGAATGAAGTCGGTAAAAAGCTGGACAGTCTCCGCCTCTCGCTCGTCGCTGCCTTCTTCCCCGTCGTGCGTGCTTTCACTTTCCTCTTCAGAGTCGCTCTCTTCGAGTTCGGTCTGTCCAGAATGGTAGTCCTCGTCGTCACTGATATCCTCTCCTCTCAAGAACCTCTGATAGATCTCCTTCTCCCTTCTCCTCTCCTCGTCCTCGGCATCTTCCACCTCGGCATCCCGAGCGGCCGTGGCGCCTTGAGCCGATACACCTGCACGGATAGGCTTCCTGGCAGCCGCCTGCTCTCTGACTCGGACCCGCCCTCTGGCTCGTTCGAGGAGAAAAACAACAAGCCCTCTCAGAACGCCCCACATTGCTCTGATAAACCCGCCCATCTCGCCAAACCACCTGCGCCACGAACCATTCGTTCCGTTGCCCAAACCTCCTCCATTGGCGGCGTCCGAGTTGCCCAAGTCGACTGTGCGCACGTCGTTGTTGAATCCACGGACTTGGGCGGTGGTTGTCGAAGCAGGTGGTCCTCTGGGGCGTCTGGAGCGCGAGGTCGTGTCGGAGAAGACGTCTGGGCTGCCACCGAGCATCCGAGATGTTGAGGCAGAGGTGGAGGCTCCGTACGAGACGTCTCCGACGCCGAGGCGGCCCATTCGCACACGGCCATACGTCGGTGAAGTGTCAAACGAGTGCGTGTCGATGAGGGTCGTCGATCTCCGTCTTCGGGGCTGGGCGGGCAGCTGGATAGGCGCAACTTCGTTACCCCATCCTCTCAGGCCAGTTGCTTCGAGGCTTGCGGTGCCGACGCGTAGAAGGAGCACACCGAAGTCTTCCTCGTATGGTAGGCTTTGGAGGAAAGATGTCGGAGTTTCGTCGTCATCTAGACATATATCTGTAGGTATGACGTGGAGGTTCTGAGAAAAAACTCACTGTGGATATTAGCACCGGGTCCGATACCCAGGCCGCTCAGTACACGGTCGACACGTCCACGTACGAGTAGTTGCACAAGGGCGTTAATAAATATCGTCAGTAAGATCGTTGAGATTAGGAATGTCTCAAAGATGTTTGGAATATAATTAAGCAAAGGGTAGTTGGCGTTGGGAGCCCCGAGGTAAGGAGTTGGTCGACGTGGGCCTTTGGGTGCAGAGCTCGTCGTTGTGGGTTCTGCCTGTGAATGTGTCTGGGAGAAATGTGCAAAGAGGGTTCCGTGGAAGTGAGCGAGCGAAAGCATTGACGTAAGGGCTGTTGGAAGCAGGCGGTGTGTAGATAGTCGCTTGGACACAGAAAGTATATGGAATAATGTAAGCTAGAGACATGTAAGCCATCGCATAGTTGAAAAGCTTCAGGAAACCGACCTGGAGAAGGGGAATGGTGATGGTGATGATGACATGCTTGTCAGGCCTCGAAGGTAGGCCATCGTTTGGTTGATAGGAGTGTGTTACTGGCGAAGAATAAATGTGCAACAAGAAAGCATATCCAACCTGTGCAGTACAGTTAGCGGATGAAATGGGTCCAATTTCTTAGAGGGCTCACAAGATTGAATGGTGAGGTGCTTGTGTTGACATTACCAAGAGGAAAACCGCCTCCCAGACCATCCATGGCCTTGACAAATCCTTCAACCAAAAATGCGCCGCATACAGCCACAAATGTCGACCAACAAATCTCCGTCATGTTCATCTGAGTACCCCACTGAAATAGATTCTCGATCCAGCACAGAGCTCCCCAATAACCGTTCTTTTGCTCTTCTGTGAATTGAGGAAGGAGCTCCGACGTTTCCAACACGAGAATGCACCAAACAAGGAGCATCTTCGTCAGAAAGTACACAGATGGTAGGTGCAAGATGAGACGAGTTGTTGTGCGAGTGAAATCGAGCGGCAAAATGGAGGCATAGAGGCGTTGTAGGAACAGCGTGTTTTGGAAGGGAGACGCGAAGACGGGAGCAAATCGAAAGGCATGGCGCTGACGCCGGGTAGGAATGCGTGATGGAATTATGACGTTCTGAATGCGGTGCAATAGGATGGCCTGAGCTTTATGAGCGAGAGAGAGCTTTGCAAGGGAAATAGAGCGCACCATTATAAACAGACCAACAAGATATCCCGACGTGAAGAATCCCCAAGGCCCAGGGAATGCCTGAAGTTGTTCCTTTACTATCTCAGGTGTGACAGTCTCGACGACTGGCTGGGACGCAGCACTCGCCAATTGTTCAGCGATGCTAACTGCTGGAAGCTCTGAAGGGTCGATTTGGGTCTCAAATACCCCCTTCCTCCATCGAGCGAGGAACCGAGACCCAGGAAGCATGGCGAAGATGGAACTGAGGTTCAGGGAGATGTTGTACGGCACCAGGGAGATCGGCGGCGTTATTGGGGGAAGCATCCGTGGCCGCGGAGGGGCTGTACCATCTGCGACGATGGGTAGGCCATCCATCTTGATAGTCTATATTTGTTCCCGTTCGAACGACTATGGACTGCCGTCGCCCGTAAGTGATATCAGAGGATGTCGAAGCCTTGAGCTCGAGTTTGTCGAAGGTTTGGGGTGTGGGCGCTGCTGACCAGCAGGCGCAGGCGAGAATACCTGCCAGAGACGATACCAACGCCAGTCAGGTAAGCTGACGATGGTGGATGTGAGGAAGGACGACGTTAGCCGGCACGAGGACATTGCATAAACAAGCCTGACCACGCTGATCAACGGACCGGGGCATCTCTTACCGCATCCACCAACCTCCGCAGACGTGGCTCAGTTCCATTGTTGTTGTCGTCTTGCCGTCCGTCCATTGCCTTTCTTTAAGCCGAAATTCAAAGAAAAATGGTCCCCGAACGCCACGACCTCACTACCTCCGTCATATCATCTACCGGCGGTGTTGTTGACAGTTGAACAGATGGATCTCAATATACCTCACACTCGCAGTTCTACACCCCCTTGCATTGTCCTGGTCACGTTTGCGGCTAGATAAAGCTGGCGTCGAATACGAGAAACCACAGAGCTCGCATTAACAACAGTCGATCCCACCTCGCGTAGCCTGCAATCATCTATGTCGAACTTATGGCCAACTCATCTTTTGCTCGTCCTCGTTTATTTGGTATCGGTGTCCTTCAATCCTCTGGTAGCGGTAGCGCTCGTCAATAGGACTATCGATGACACGTATGGCGATCTAGTAACAGGCTTCAAACCGATATACTTTCCTCACAGTCCGAAGGACTCGAACCCTTGGAATAATCAAGATTGCCACCGCTGTGCCATTACGCCAGACGTATCTCGGGCTTTCAGTGGTACCTACACGGCGGCGACGTATCACCCATTCATAAAAAGTATATCGATTACATTGGATTTCAACGGCATGTCTAAGTTTCGTCAGTACCGTTTGCAGATGATGAGCTGACTTCATGGTGTTGCAGGTACTGCCATTTGGGTTTTCTTCATAAATGCCAACAATGCTGGGCCGGCTGTCACCACAAGGACGATTGCCAACTTCACAATGGACAATGGCCCACCAGTCCTGTATGAACACGTTCCGGACCCAATGAAGACAGAAGTTGACTTTGACGTTCCGGCATACTCGCGAGACGGTCTTAACAGCACCCAGCATCGACTCGTCATCTCTGCCTTCGGCGATACGGACGTTTATGTGAACTTCGACTATGCCATCTATTCGTGAGTATTTTGTATCGTTCTGCGCTATATGTTTATCTTGAGGGTCTACCAGAGTCGAGGATTCAGGCATACCTTCTTCCACCGAAGTCCAATTTCCTTCAACCGCCTCGTCTGATTTATCTGCTGCTACTGCGGCAGCAGCCCTCGACAACAGCACCCCCGGAAAGAGAGGTATAGATGGTGTGAGCGTGGCCATTGGGCTCGCGATCGCATTTGCGACCCTGATCATCGGTTTCATCCTGCTGCGACTTCTTCGCCATCGACGAAATGCCAAGAAAGCGCATGGTGAAGAACTTGGTATGAAAAATCGAGGGTTCAAATTCCAGATGGACGTTGATAACAACCCGCCTCCGAGCTCTGGCTATAAGGATAGATCATACACCGGAGACAGAGAGGACGGAACGTATGCAGGAAAAAGTTAACTGTAGTTTCCTCTTCTAGATCTCGAATCTTTATGTAATTACCTAGGTTACGCGGGCGAGGTGGCTGGTAACATCATCCCAAGTCTGGCGTGTTATTTACTTAGTATTGCTCACTCCTTCCTCGATATCTTTATTTATGCACTTAGACTTGTTTACAAATTAAGTAAACAAGTTACTATAGTATATATTTTTGTAGCACCCTATCTAGGAACGAGAACATGGTTCATCATCTAAATTAGGATAATGTGGCGTCTGTGTAGCCAGCAGTGGAATCCGCGGTTCTAAAGATGGCCCAGACATGAAATGGCAGGAGTTCGGGCGTCAATCTCGAGGGCGTTTTCCCTAACGGTGATAGAATGTTTCTCATTCGACAATCGAAGAGAACTTCCTGCACTACTCTATATCCATCCGGGCCAAAGAACTAGCAACATTTTCGTATAAGGTTAGCACCAAGCCGGGGGAAAGGCGAGAGGCATGGGCGCAATAAGTAGTATGAGCTGCTAAAACGTACATCAATATACCATCGGAACTCAAATTTGAGCAGAATCTGATGTCATGGATAACAATAGTATTTCTGCGGGTGGGTCTTTGATTTGCTAGGTGAGGTCTTAGGGGCACATCTCAGTCCGCAAACCTCACATCGCAGCCCCTGGCCGATCTCGTATCACGGAGATATCGAGCCGTTATTAACCCAAGTTCTTCTGAGGCGCTACTCTCGTTTTTGTTGTCCACACCACCCAATGCCTTGGAAGCTGAAGCTCGCACGTACTCTGCTAGTCCCTTCTTCGATCTCTCCCTTCATTAGACTTCCTATCCTCGCCCTCTCTTTCTACTCTGCTTTCGCCAAGCTAGTGAATAGAACAATCGACGACGGATTTGGCGACTCAGAGACTGGCGTGCGTCCTGTGTACCGTCCAAGGCTGTCGGACAATACTCCGACCATATGGAAGAACCAAGATTGCTCGCCGCTTGACTGCGCAATCTTGCCGGCTACGCGCAAAGCTTTCACTGGCACCTATACGGCAGCAACGTATTACCCCGACACGAGGAATATGTCTATCACATTCCAGTTTACCGGTCTGTAGATTATTTCACCGATTTCATACATCCCTTATCACTGTGGGAAGCCGGAGCCGGGGAAATACCTGCTTCGGGGAGTCCTGCCCCCAAAAGGCAAGGAATTCCGGGGCTTTTCAGTAGCCGGTAATTAAGTCATATCTAAAAATAGGTGAAATTCCCTGCTTTCGGTAGTCCTGCCTCTAAAGGCGGGCCATTGCAGCACTTTCCGGTCACCGGAGATTAAACCGTATCTAAAAATACCTAAATGCCTTGCTCTCGGAAGCAGGTATGAGTACACCCACCTATTTTCCTGCTACCAAGGGCATGTAAAATCCCAGGTTACGGCTTCTTTTGATGAATCGCCTGCCTATGCCCTATGAGGTAGTTACAATTCAGCTACAGTAATGGGACTTATTGCTGCTGTGACACCATCTCGCCTTCCAGAGTTATTCCCTCCATCTGTCCGCATCCTCATGTTGAGGATCGAAAACATAGCTCAACAATATGCCGAAAATATGCCTAGATACACATTAACACCATGGACCAAGCTGACACCCTGATTTTGCCCATTGACAAGGTCCAGATGGCAATCTGCAACATATGCAGGCTTTTCAAAGACGGTGCTCTATCTTTACAAGATGTGTACTGATGGCGTGTATTTCGTGGTGCTGGAAGAGGACCAACCATGGTGTCGCAAATCATTATAGAGGGAATTTGGAGTGTCTGAAGCTCCAGATCTAGAGTGGTCAGTCCACAGATGGCACAGTGGGAAGATACGCACCACGAGCCTTGGTGGTACAGTCTGTTGGTCACCGTCGAGCAGTGCCTGGTTGAACAGCTCATCGGGGTATGAGTCCAGGCACCAAATACGGCACTTTGATTAGCTACTTGTAGATACACAGAGAGGAGAAGAGTACTCACTGGCGAATGGGCAGCGTCAGTGGTGGTAGCGCAAACCTGGAGAGCTTGGCATGCTGACAAGGGACAGCGGACTTGGGCCTCAGGTCGACCGATGTTTGGCATCAGCTTGTTTGTTCCACTAGGTGTCCAAACAAAGTGAGGAAGAAAACCTCACTTTGTTTGGACGCCTAGTGGAACAAACAAGCTGATGCCAAACAACTTTGAGCACGTGACAGTACGTGTCCCGTTCTGAGCCGCAATGTGTCTTCCGCAGCTTGTACCCCAACTGCCTTGTCTCACCCCCTCCCCACGCTTGATCTTCTATCTGTCAGCACAGATGGCCATATAACTACCTCAAAACTAGATGGAACACCTGCACGAACAAATTCCGCTCTCCGATCTGGCCGATCACAAATCGGATCGCCGCTGGAGCCTGAGCGCGTCTAGAAGTGACACTGGTGCTGTAGGTATGGCCTCTTATTCAATGTATGCGTTCATTTATGCTCATCTTTTGGATTTTTATGACCTGGAGTTGACTCATCCACGATTCGTCCACCGTGGCCCCATCTCTGGCAAGTTGAAGCAACTCTTGAGTACCAGCCCTCTCTATCTTTCAGCACGGCATCATCGGCATATGCACAACTGGCAGGATAGCTCCTGAAGCCGTAGGGCATATACATGGTATAGGAACCACACCGAAAGCAAAGGTGATTATAAACAGCATCAGGCGAAGGTAAGTTCACCTTTGGTTTTGCTGTTATGTACTCACTCACAGCATCATTGTTGCAAAGACCAGTTGCGAGAAGGAGCAAATGATACTGTGGGCGGCTCTTGTGCGGCAGGTACGTTGTTCCCGAGCTCATCGACTTTTGAGAGTCCATTTTGTTGACGCGTCTACAAGATTCAAAATCTGTTCGTGTGCTTGGTTCGATGTCGCAAATATTGCTAACTCCGCACCACACCCGAAACTTGGCGTCTATGGTGTTGACGAAGGAGGTGTCAAGGTACGTGCCCTCCATCACCCCCTCATGTTGGTACTGATTCAATCAGTAAGTTGTACCAACATCTAGTGCGGGCTCACGCTCCCATTACACTCGGTGAGGGGCACCGGGTTTCAGTCTCATTCGCATTGGAAGATTGCAGGACCCCCGGTTATCAAGAGCTCTATAGGGACTGCCAGTGCTCCATAGAGCAACTGCGAGCAGAAGATCACAACGGCCTACGTACTGGCTTGTCCGGTACATCTATCCCTTCAATTGACTCTCGCCGCACTGATTCCTTATCAACCATAGTTGTGGCAAATGTGGAATCCGTAGCAAGAGTATGTTTCAGTCTGCTGCTTCTCGCTGTACATAAACGCTGACCCGACGTCGTTCAGAACTTTCTCAAGCTCAGAAACGCCAGTTACGCCATCCACAGCTGCTAGGTATGAATCAATCGTTGTCCCGTTCAAAATTACTCATTGTGTGCCCCGCTCTCCCCAGGCCTTTGACGAATAGAGCAGTTTGCTGCGAGCTCGACACGGGTGCGACAGAACTCAGCAGTCAGGTGGGGAGCCTCAGATACTATGTACAGATGTAATATTTAACTACAAATACAACTGCTTTGAGCTCCAGGACTATGACCACCTATGAGACCGATGAAAATAGCAGCAGGGTGTAGGCGCCAAAAATGCCTGCCCGACCGCCACGAAAAAATCTGCAATAGGCGCCGAAATTTGGGGTTTTTGCCACGTGTTTCCACTTTTTTTCGGTGCCTGAAACCCCTAATACTCCGGTTGTATTGCAGGTTAAAATAAGGCTACAACAGGCAGTAGTTTACGGTGCATACAAGATACCGTAGATATCAGTGCTATTCCGACGCGGGTTTTTTTGGAGCTTCGGCTGCCCACAGTGTTATGACTGCTACAGGGATGGCCATTTACGTGTATTTCATCCTTGTAAATTCTGCACCAGCAATCCTCGGCGGAGAACACGCTACATTAACCGTAGTGAATTTCACCGTCGATGGAAACCCACCTGTACCTTTCCATCACTTCCCAGACCTGACCCATCCAGTCTACGAGTTCAATGCCTTGGTCTTCTCACGAACGGACTTGGATAATGCGCCACACAGGATGACAATATCAACCACGAATCTGAACATGGCGGTCTTTGTAAACTTCGACTATGCCATATACACGTAAGTATCCCGTATAGTTTAGACACAAAACCTAGTACCTGATTACAAGGGAACGCTGTTGTAGAGTTGACGACAGCACTCTCGCACCTCCCTCCGAGACACCGACATCAGAGCTTTCAAGAACGACGGAATTTTCGACAAGGAAAGGCCTGTCAACGACAAAAGGAGCTTCACCCACGGCTTCAGTCTGCATGCCGCCGCCACCAAAGAGTACGAGTATAGCGTCTGCTGCAGGAGCAGGCGTAGGGGGAGGGTTTCTAGGGATGGGCCTATTCGTCATCATTCTTTATTGCATCAGCAAGTATCAACGGCGCAAAAATGCGTTGAAAACCAGTGTCTCTCCATTTGAAATCGGGGCGATGCCAGGCTGGAGGACAGGGAGGCCACCGACTCCACCCCTAACTGGACTTGTTCAGAACAATGCGTTAGGGCATTGTAATCACTGCCGCCATCACTGCAGAAGAAGGGCGACGGATGGGAAGCCCGAGAAGTCTTCTCAACATAAACGGGCTCACCAAGAACGATGAAAACATAAAAAATATTGCTCAGAAGCAAAGCACGTACCTTGAAGGCTTGTATCACGGCTTGGAGATGTCGTCGATTTAGAATAACTCCACTGTAGCAAAACAACCTCGTATGTTGAATCTAAACATCGGGTAACCTCCACGGGCTCACTGCTTCGTAAAAGAAAGAAAAAGAAGGACTTAGAGTCTGGACGAATTTATCGAAGTCTGTTGAGTCATTGACCATGGATAGGGTCAAACCGTGGGACTCTTTACGCGACGTGACATTTTCACGTGGCTGCGTGACTCCGATTGAATTCTGAATTCAACCCTGGCCAATCATGATGCATGATGCCCGCTCGGCCGTTGTGCTTGGACCTTCACCTTCGCCTTCACCTTCATCTCTTCTGTATATTGTTCAAATTTCCTCATATTTAATGAACACTATTTAGGCTCCATATTCTTGAATATGTCGACTCCCAAGAAACAGCAACAGCAACTTATCTTTGGTGGTAACTCCCCCACTGTACTACGATTAATCAAGAACCAAGAAGCGGTTGAAGAAGAGGTCGATGGGCTTGATGAGCGCCGCGAGACGAAAGGGGGTTCCCAGAAACCGTCTGCTTATGTCGAAGTCTTCGAAAGTGCGTCGTCTACTCTCAAGTGTTTGATGCTCCTGTTGAGTCTATACGGGTAGCGATGATGAGGACCGTCCTTGGACACGAACCCGAGCTACTTTCAGAGCAAGAAATCATGGCCCTCTCAATGTACGGCAAATTGTGCTGTAAGCATACTGCTGAACGTGTCCCGCTTTCTTCTTAAGCGACATCCGCCGCAGATAACACGCGCTATTGTCTGACACGCCTCGTCCTTCGCAAGCCCTACCAATGGCACCCGATATCTGCTCTGGAAGGGTACAAGAGAGAAGTGGGAGAAGACGGTTTGGCCTCTTCAATACGCGATTTATGTCAACCTATCAACTCGCTCCTGAACGATGGAATGACCGTTAAGGAGGAGCCAGTGGATTCCGTCAAATCAGAATCTATGGATACCGACGTTTCTATCAAGAAGGAAGAGGGCCCTCCTGTAATTGATCTAACCCTGGACGCCGACGACGAAGAGGTGAAACCCAACATCCCTTGTACAGCGGCACCCACCCTTGAAAAACATACTTCCACCCTAGCCGGTCCTTCACGCCTACGACCGCCCCGCCCTCATGAGGACGACCCTATAAAAGGCGTATTGGAAGCAGACGTGGATTCGATGCATCTCGATGCCTTCTGCGAAGACGAAAGCACGATGACGTTGCACGAAATCCTTTGGAGATTGACCAAGGATCAACTAAAGGAACTCGTGAAGACAACGCGAACCAAAGTGGAACCCACTGCGAAGGTAAGTGCAATTTAAGGTGGTTTGAGGCCTCGTCTTACCGTCTTGCAGAAATGCGATATCATATATGCACTAGAGGATACTGCGCTGAAGCAGACCATACTGGAATTGGAGTTCGTGGCCCCTCCTGCTACTAAGCGAAAGGGTAAAGGCAAAGCAAAAGACGATGGCTTCAAACAGACTCGACTTTCCTTCAAGAAGAAGTCGGATGTTGACAAACCTCCAGTCACCCAGGAACAACGGCTGAGAGAAATGGCGATTGAACGCTTAGGTGAGCAGCATCGGCCGAGGATATGTTGTTATCCTGAAGATGACCGATAGGAAAGTGTGTCCGCGTTAACTTCGACTTCCATCGACTTGTCCGGCGCCTCGATATCATCTGCTATCGCCAGCCCGAACATCCGACATCTTTGATGCTACCTGCCCTACTCTCCGTATTCAAAAAGCGGAATTTCACCATGTACAAGCCCACACGCTGTTCCGACATCTGGAGCACGCGACAGGAATTCCTGGAGTATGAGATGGCTCTCGAACTGGAGATGCATCTGGAGGAAATAATCGACCCGCCACCGGATCCATACGCGAAGAAGAGTCCGAAAACGCCTGCTCCGCGGAAGAGCGAATTCATTACACCAGGACCTCGAGCCAGCCGAAGTTGCACGACTCCTTTGAAAACCCCAGGCACCATCGTCAACAATCAAGCGTTAGAGCAACTTACGGTCAAGCTGGAAGATGAGGCCGTCCAGCTGGAAGCAGCGCCTGTCGAGGAGGTAGAAACACCTGTCGTAGAGGCTACGAAGGAGGAGAAGGTTATAGACCATCTCGAAAAGTGGATTTTGCCGAGGTGGACAATCTATGTCTCCAAAGAATGCGAACGGGAAGCTCGAATACGGCCGCCTGGATTGGAACGTTTCGATGCCGGTGTGTACTCTTATTTCGACCCTCTCATAATGGGTATCTGATCGAATTGAACGCGGTTAGGCCATGTGTTCACTAGGATGCTGTATAAAGCCACCAAAGTTCTAGGTCCTTCAAAGAAGTACGAACTGGAGTTAAAGATCATCGAATCCTTACTATCTCAGCGGCACTGGCATCGTGGCAGGAGAGGGTCGTGGTATGAAAGACGAGCGGTGGTGATCGGGCATCTGATACGAGGCACTAAAGATGCTCAAGAGAAGGAGGAGCTTCGTCGGCGCACTCTTGAAGGTGTCAAGGAGGCCCTCCGTGACGATGATACCCACATTGGTATGTGCACTCCATTATCAAGTATGTTTCGACCCCTGAACGTAGATTGCAGTGCATCGTCCCAGCCTTTTCCGTCGAGTCGAAAAGCTGGAAAATGCACTCAAGATAGCGAAGAGTGAACGTTCAACATGTGAAGGAGACCTCCGTAAACCACCAATAGTCATATTGGAAGCATTCAAGATACCTCCTCTACAACTAGATGCTCTTGGACGGCCGCTTGAGAAGGAAAATACCCCTGGGGCACCACTTCTCGCATACATCCCCGTGACGAAAGTGGGCAAGCTTCCTGAAGAGGTCAGAGTGCGCACTATATTGTCCGAGAGGTGATATTGATTCGCTTTGCAGCCGAAACAGAAGAGGAAGACCGGGAAATCGAGGTGGAAAGGCCGGAACAACCAGATTGTGGACGTTGAAACTCGTGCGCTTGAATTCTACGAGGATAAAGGATATAGAGGGTGCCTCAACAATCTATTATTGTGACGTGTTTTGCTAACCGACTTCTCAGATTCCATGCGGAAACGAGGATCCTAACAACTCTATTCGGCCTATTATTCTGGGACATCATCTTTACAGAGGTTCCAGGCGCATTTGATACGCCATACCAATACGCACCGCTCGACATATGGTCCGATTCCTTCTACCTTGCCAGAAAGGCTCTCATCGACCAGAGGCTGGAAGTTATTCGCCAAGGAGGCGGACGCGACATTCTCCACGAGCATGACGACCTGTATCGTGAAAGACAATTTATCTGCGCCGGCGTGACATGGGACATATGTAAGAGAGATGATCTCCTCGATATCGTGGACGTAAGCTCTCCAGTTTCTTGACATATCTCAACCGACTGATTTCGATTGTCTAGTGTCTCGGTGGAGAATCGTTGGCCTTCATCTGCCAACTCTTTTGCGAGGACTACAAAGGCCGTAGCAGTGGGGCACCTGATCTTTTCGTCTGGAACATCAAGGAACGTGATTGCAAATTTGTCGAGGTCAAAGGACCAGGTGACACACCTCAGGAGAACCAAAAGCTTTGGTTCGACTCCCTTTGTCGAGCAGGCGCGGCTGTCGAGATTTGCAAAGTGGTTGACATCAACGCTCCTCCTCCGAAGGGCAAGAAGCGGAAGGCAAAGACGCCAGGCTCTGCTCGCGGAGGAAACACGGCACCGCCAGAGGAAGAAGAGGACGGGTGTTGCGACGAAGAACCTGATTACGAGCAGCTTGATGTGGAGCCAGAGCTTGATGCCGATTGCCCCGAGCTTGAAACCTCATCCAAGATCAAACGACGACGGATATCGCACCCCGAGGATGCCTCTCCATCTGTTCCAAGGGTGAATAGGGCAGAGATTGTTCTATCCCCCTCGAAGTACAGGGTGGCGTGATGCAATGTTCTCGCAGCCTCAAGACTATATTTATTGAACCCCTTCGACCATCTATCAACCTAGTCTTGCATGTTACCCTGTACTACCGAGCTTCCTGTATTGCTTCCTTGCTTCTGTATACCCTCTAGCTCTCGTCTCTAGGAACATTTTCATGCTAGCATTTCCCTGCATAGATGTAATGTGTAAACGCCGATTCCTGAGCATATAATATGAGCTTGTGTGCTCTGTGATCCCTATCCCTATCGTTCGCCCAAATAAAGTTAAATTACAAGACAAAAATACCGTAAAGGTGCCATCGGTTATGTAAACTATGCAAAGATTTGTTCGTACTGTGGTGGAAGATCATTCTGGGTATCGCGCCGCCTGGGTAATAAGGAATCATGTAGGCCTCCCCTAGGGCTGAGAGTCGAGGGAAGGGAATAGGGAAGTGCAGGTCGTCTACCCTGCGCAAGATTAGCTCCTGCAGTCTCAGGTGAAGTGCTCCCTGAGCAATTGTTTCCTCTGCAACCTGATGCCGTGCATGCACATTGACGAAAATTGAGTCCTGCAGATACGGGTTTGGGGTCTGAATACCGGGTCGTCGATTGATTGACAAATTCCTGCATGTTCAGAATGCGCCGTCGGCGTAGCAGGAGGACGGAAGTAAGGAGGACGATACATCCTAACACGAAACCACCCGCCACACACGTTCCGATAATAATGACCCCAGTCGAACGTCTACTGCGAATGGCTCCACCGTCAATTGGTGTCCGACTGGAAGTATTGGACGTGGATGTACTAGACTGAAATGATTCGCTGCTTAACCTTGTCTTGTCGGCATCTTCGAAGCTATTCCCAAATTTCAGAACAGAAATATGGCCACAGTAGTAAACGGAAACCTACGAGTAGACCGCAAAGTCGAAGTTCATATATGCGTCGGTGTCACCAGTATTGGAAATCAGAAGGCGATGTTGTCCCTGGGGCAAGCCTTCTCGTGAATATGCCAGCGCATTGAAATCCTCCCCTAGCTTCGTCATATTGGGTACATTCTGATAGAGTACGGGCGAATCGTCGTCCATCGTGAAATTGGCCAAAGTGTGTGTAGTGACCCCTGTTCCTGCATTATTCGCGTTGATGAAGTAAACCCAGATAGCAGTGCCTGCGACATTATCAAGTCGAATTCTACTCTTGGAGTCTGGGAATTGCGCACCATTGAAATCCAAGGTTATCGATGCATTTTTTAGGGCTGGATGGTAGGTGATTGCAGTCCAGCTCCTCCGAAACGTCATATTGAGGTTTGGTTGAATACGACCGCAATTACAGGTCGAATGGTCCCAGCGAGGCCTTCCAGTATCCGGCGAAGGGAAGTAGATTGGCAACTGACCGGTAACTGAGTCACCGTAAAGGTCGTCGATGGTCCTGTTGACGACCTCTCCTCTTGCAAGTGCGAACAACAGCCTGACCAGGAGAGTACAACGTATGTACACCCGATGCAATGCGTTGACCATGGACTTGAATTTCGCAGATGCGGAGGAGAAAATCACAGTATAGGGTCACAAGCACGATGGAGAGCCTTCCGGGTCTTTATGAAAGGTGTATTCGATCATCCTCTTGGACCTGGTCGGCATGATAAGACCATGATGAAAACAACGACAAGCTTTGCAGCGCTTGAGTATAGGAGGCTCCTGGCTGCAGCACACCGTGTTGTATCCAACTTTGGAGAGATTGAATTCGGAAGATGATTCTGACAGTATAAGTGGAAAGGGACTGAGGAAAATTAGCCTAGAACACACCCATGCACATCATGAACACTACGTATCTGGGTTCAATCCCCAGACATGGTTTACGCTGTTTTCGGCCCTATCTTCGGAGACGGCCGACTGAGCGAGCCAGGGGACCCAGACCGCACAGATAGTCCCGTGCAAAGTCGCGCTCGCTTTAGCGAGGGTGCACGTGGTCGGCCGTCGTCATCGGGCGTGGTGATGGCGGTCCTCGTGGAGCGACCAAAAGTGGCAGGTGGCGCCACACGCTCCAGGCCCCTCCCCCCACGAATACCCACCAGTTCGGGGTCCCGGGAGCAACTCAGCACTCAGCTGATCCGGTAGATCGCGGTCCGCGGATGCGTTCCAGGCCCGGTCCATACTCCCCCTCTGTAACCTAAGCTTGGGTAACGGAACGCTATCAACGTCGGGTTAGGGCAGCGGTTAAGCCCTCTGACGAGCCCCTTCGCAAGGGCGAAACCCGCCTAAACCCGGCATTATTGCTTTCCGAGGTTGGTATCTTCAGAAAATTGCTCAAATATTCCAAGGCGGACTAAGTATTGTGATAGGTGACGGTGCAGATTTCCCAAGACCAAACATTGAAGGGAGTCCTACTTTGAACGTAAATATCATGGCCAAGGGCGCATAGGAGAGACATTTACATTGACAGGCACATTTGTACCTCCATTCCCGGTACTATGACTGCCAGACCTTCATTAGTTGCAGTGCATGCAGAATCCCGACCGCGTCTTAGGCGATGCTAGTGAAATCAGCGCACATCCGAGTCGATACATTGTCGGATTGCCCTGACCGTGTCCTTCTGTTCCCTGACGATCTCGAGTAACCACTGCCTGATTGCCAAAGTGTGAACGGCACCATCTAGAACACGGCAACTTGAAGCCCGTGACAATTACTACTGTGCTTCGTCCGAGAGGAGATGGAGTCGTTGGCCATTTTTTGTCTCCTTGTCCGCGGTCCTCGCAGAAGCGGTATCGAGGTCGCTTTAACGGGAATATAACGGTTCTTGTAAGGTATCGAGAAGCGTCGTTGAGGATTTGCCATCAGCGGGCATGGACACTTATTCGGATCGACGCGGTCTCCGGGGAGTTTGAAGTCAACATAAGGGTATGCCATCTAGGTGGGATGAAAAAGATAGAGCTGCGCGAGACGTAGTAGTCCGCCGCAGGCCCGCAATGGCACGAGGACGGTTCTGTCCGGTCCGGCCCACGTGAGTGGATGTTCGGTTTCTGCATCAGATTCCTCAAACAAACCACAACCACGACCAAGAACGACCAAGACCTACCCGCCACCCATCGCCTGTACTTAGTAAGTATGTCAGAAACACCGTAAGTCTATCATCTCATTCCACTGTTCTTCTCCGACATGACATCTAGAAGCGTTCCACCGCCCGAGCGAAGGTGAGTGCCACACTATCGGCAGTCTGGGTTGTTTCCCTAACTAGTGGCACTGAAGGCTACCATAAGGTCTAGTACGGGTTTCGTCCGACCGGGTGACCTGCAGGTTGTGACCCGCGGGTTTGTCACGGGTCGGGTGGGATGGGTGACGGGTCACCCATCCCTTGAACCCGGATCGGGTACGGGTAGGCGCTAGGATTTTTGGCCATACCCGCAGGTAACCCGTAGGAGGTAGGCATTATTTTCTCTTTGATTTGAGATAGATGAATGCATTTCTGAGAGTATAGGCATATTTCTAGCCTTCAATATCTTGCTTTCGGGGGTAAGGTAGTACTTGCCGAAAAGGTTAATTGGGCTCCTATATCAGACCGTCAAAAGGAAAAGGCATTGACCCTCGAAACTGGGGAAATCTCGTCATTCCGGACAAGGAAGTCGATCCACATGTCCAAGAAACTCTTCTCAATGAAGCCAGAGAGAGGAGACATGAACCTGGTCCATCTTGGACACTTATTCACACGGTCTATATATGCCGAGTTGCCGCGCGACGGCTCAAGCGCTCAATTAGCGCCCAATAGCGACAGGAGGACACGGACGAATTCACAATGTCATAGAATATGGGTATGCATAACAAGAGCGGGAAAGTCGCACAATGTCTCACTGTACCTTTATGATTCTCAAACTCGTAACTTGCTCCCTAGCTATAACCCAAAATGAAGTAGACTAAGTAATTCATATTTCAGCTAGCCGACTTCTTCGTATCGTGGGGGTGGTTCTTCAGACCGGCGTTTGGCACGAACAGCATTTCTACCGGCATACAGGTTACTTCCTGCACTTCCTGAAGGAACCACGCCATTTCCACAAGTTTTGCCCCTGCAATCTCCACCTGGGCAAGTACATCTGGGTCCAGAAAGAGTTGGAGCAATCAGATGACCAGAGGCTGAAGGGAACGGGGTAGCCTGGGCCATTTCTGAAATCCTTCCTCCATTCTGCTCTCCATCTGCCAGCCCTCGGCGTCGTCGGCGTGAAAGGACAATGAAAAATATGGCACCCAAGAGGATCAGAACACAACCGCCTATACTTCCTCCAACTATAGTCCCGATTTGAGATTTACCCGGATCTGGCGCCTCTGTTGCCGTCGTCGTCGGACTGGTGGTAATTGAAGATATAGTATTAGATGATTGCACTTGGCTCGATGTGAGCGGCGGGATCTCGTCGTCAAACCTGGCACGGTTCGTGGCGAAGTTAGAGGTGTCACTGTTAGTGAGGAGAACTCACGAATAAATCGCAAAGTCGAAATTCACATAAGCATCGCTATCGCCCGTAGTGGAAATAAGCAGTCGATGAGGGGTATTGGTCAAGCCGTCTTGCTGGTATGCCACCGCGTCGAAGTCGTTGTCTGTCCTCGTCATGTCTGGGACATGCTGAAACAGATGCGGCGGCTGGTCATCCAGGGTGAAATTCGCCAGTGTCATCGTGGTGACTGCGATTCCGGCATTGTTCGCATTGATAAAGAAAACCCAAACAGCGATGCCTGTCGCGTCGTCAAGCCCCCCCATTGACTTCGCAGTCTGTCAAAAAGGCACATACCAGTAAAATCTAGTGTTATCGACATATTTTGTAGGAATGGGTGATATGTGGCCGCTGTATAGGTCCGACGATGCGTCATGTTGAGGTTCGGCTGAATGGCACATCCCCCGCAGGTTTGGTTATTCCAAGGCGATTCGGGTTTCGAAGGAGGAAAGTAGATCGGCATCTTCCCCGTCACTGGATCCCCATAGCCGTCGTCGATGGTTCTATTGAGAACAACTGCTATCGTATGGGAAATGAAGAGAAGGAGAGAGAGTCGAAACAGGCGGGAGTGCATAGTGGCGTACGGTCATGAGGGTGAAGAGGCCTGTGCGCGCTGGGTCATGGTCCGTAGTATATCAGGTCCCAGAAAGTAAGCTTGATGTGCTTTTTTTAAGAGTAGCTTGAGCCAATCTGCACTACTACCATCAGAAAACCTCGGGGTGACGGGATAAGAGAGGCTTACGGGCTGAAGTAAATAGCACGGCCTTTGATCAATCTATTTGCGCAACTTCATGAATTCAGGCCGGGTTCGACTTCGCTTCAGCGCCCAGGCTGCAAGGCCGACAACTGGACAACGAGGAATGCAGAAGCGTATAAAATAAGGTCGCATGCTCTTCGATGTCCCTCGTAGACTTCGAAAAAAGAATGTCCTTGAAGAGGCTGTCCTTTAAGAGGCTTGTGAGAGCGCCCATCGTACCAAAAGTCGGATTACGATCCCGAGTCTCCACAGCTTCTGGAGCTGCGGGAGACTACAGCTGTCAAACTGTCGACGGGAGTCGTACACATAAGCATCCCGAAACAGCCCTCAAAATTCGGTCTTGACGCGTGACGCTTGATCAAGCACGCCGCGGAGTCTGCTCAGTGCTGGTATGCAATACTTTCTTATATTCAAGGACTCGGAAAAGAAATGTCGTGGTGTGTACTGGCTCTCTATGGAGTTGTAAGCTGGTGTATGGAATAGTTACATTAGATGCTGGGACTGACGGTGCGTGCATACCTTCTCAGCTCAAGCGCTCACTATTCACAACCATTACCCTCACAGCCACCACCTCACAGCCGCACTCATTCGCCATTTCTTCCCTCCCAAGTTGGTGTCGACATTGTGGCTGATCTTCGCCGTACGCCGCGATATGTTGTAGACCGACTCAAGAGGATGATCGTTGCAGGTTGTAAATGATCCTCAACTCGAGACAATCCACAGGGACCGCGTGGGGCGTATTACAGAGACAGCATCCATAGCGATCAAGTAGCCGCCCATCGATATGATCCCCAGTGGTAATGTCTCCGCATAGCTTCTGGAGCTGCGTCGTGCGAGAGGTGACAGCTGTCAAAATGTTGGCGGTCATACGCATGAGTGTCTCTTCAAATAGTGAAAAACCCTCAAAAGTTGGTCTTGACGCTTGATCAGAGCATGTTTTGGCGTCTGCCGGAGGCAATACTTTCTTATATTCAAGGGGAAGAAATGTCGTGGATGTAGTCCGCTTCTATCGAATCGTAAGCTGCTGTGGAGAATAGTTGCATTATAAACGCTGGGACTGACCGTACGTGTCCGCTTTCAGCTCACTATTCAAATTTCGCAGCCAATAGCGTAGCAATCGCCACGTCGCCGCACTTGCTCGCCATTTCTTCACTTGTAAGTTGGTGTTGATATCGTGGCTGCTCTTCCCGATACGACTGCGTTGCCACCGCGAGAGGATGATCGTCGTAAGTTGCCATAGTCCTCCACTCTCGAGGCAATCCACACCGCGGCGCGTAATACGAAGACAGCGTCCGTCCATCGCGATCAGGGAGTGAATGGGCTAGACGGTCAAGTGAGAAACTCTCTAATTTCAATCCGACGTAATGAAACGTACTGATGGTCTCTGATACCCCTTCCTTGCTTGTTCTCTTCAAACGATCAACCCCAACATCATGTATTCCACATCTCAATACCATACACATCACAACCCACATCCGTTGATCCTCGAAATTTGAGGTATGTCGGCGAGCAAAGTATTTATGAATGGCATTGGCTCCATTCAGTGCAGGAGGAGTCGGAGTCGGTGTGGAGGTCGTTGTTGAACGTTGAAGAAGTATCAACGTTCAACGTTCAACCGTGACGTACTAATTTCCGGCTAATCACGGGCCGGCAGGCGAAAGTCTGCTTGGCCTTTTTCATCCGACAAGTAGAGTGTTCAAATGCCGCTCTACGCAGTATGAAGTCGATAGCAATCAATCAGAAGGTGTGGCCAAAGTCATGTTTGTATGGGGTGTAGTCGAGGAAATTATTTACTTGTTACTTACTCCAGCCTGCTTCCTGAGAGGCCACATTCTCCCATTATAGTTCGGTCCATCCCATCCATGGAGCTATCTTTCGTCGACAAGAAGCCCCGATACGCCAGAAGGGCATTACAGCAAACTCATCCATTCAGTGTGAATGTAAATTTATGCAAGTTGTCGCAATCGCTTGAGAGCAATATTTCAGTGATTTCTCGACCTTGCTCGGTGAACTCAGAATAGTGAAGGGGCCAGGTCAGGGCGAAGGGATACAAGATAACAGTAAAATTTAATCTGGTAATTCAATCTTGATACTCTGGCGGGGGTTCATGAAGCCTTGTTTTCCCTCGTAAAGCAGGGTTGTCATTTAGAAACCCTGCGCTCAAAGAGTTGGAAATCCCTGGACAACTGGGATTCGATGGAATAGTCCCGTGCAACGGAAAAGGAGTGACTGGAGAAGGGTTATTTTGGCCGGTGTGCCGACGCTGGCGGCGTATAACGAGAACACAGAGCCAGAGGGAAATGATGCCCAATGCGAAACCTGCCACACTTCCAGTGGCAATAGCAACAATTTGCATTTTATTGCTTGGCGTCGCTGTAAGACTAGATGATGTCGGTGTCGGAGAAGAGGTCTGGACAAGCTCCTCGGCCCTGCCAGTGTTATTTAGCTTAAGCACCGAAAAGTACGGTCAAAGCCCCGGAGGAACTCACGAATAAATTGCGTAGTCAAAGCACACATAAGCATTCGTATCCCCCGTGGTAGAAATTACAAGTCGATGCTGAGAATTCACGAGGTCTGGCCGAGAATATGCCAACACGTTATAGTCCTGCTCCATCCGCGTAGTTTCAGGGAGGTGCTGATAAAGCGTCGGAGGATCATCATCCATCGTGAAGTTGGCCAATGTCGTTGTGACGATTCCCGGTCCAGCGTTATTGGCATTCACGAAGAAAATCCAAATTGCAACACCTAGCACAGTACGATGGCATCAGCTTTTCGGTTCAACATTAGACACGAAGTACGCCCACCGCTGAAGTCCAAGGTAATCGACATATTTTTCACGGATGGATAATAACTCGCCGCTGTGTACGTCTGGTCAAAAGTTCGAGTTACATCCGGGCTTATGACGCAGACATCAGGCCCGCATTGTTGGGTGTGCCATACATTCGTAAGAGAGTCTCCCGAGGGCAGGGTCGAATTTTGTGGTAAATAAACGGGTTTAAAGCCTGTAACTGAATCGCCAAAAGTATCATCAATAGTCCTGTTGACCAACATCCCTGCTGTCGGCGATTAGTAGCCTATTAAAACAAGAATTTAAGGACGCACGCCTGATGAAAGAGAGAGATAGAGAGGAAGTGCAGTATTGAGGCGCACTCGCGCCAACAGCTTTTGATTTAAAACCTTCAGATCGCAGAAGAGGCATCGGCGGCACTCGTTAGCTACATCAGACTTTTCCATCAGACACGGCATGGTTGTAAATGAGACAGCCACGAAAGTCGGAGAAAAGTGATGAAAGTGTGATGCTCACTCTCATACTCTATTATTCGACAGCCCGGAGAATAGGCCGCACGGAATAGCGCGAGATCTACTTGTTGTTGCCACCAGACGGCCTGGCATGTGGAATGGGTTTGGTGGAGCACTTACACACGTCGAAATTGGCAGACAGGGAGATGATGGGGTGGTGACACCTCAGGCGTGTTCTTGTTCATATAATGGATATACATAGCGCGAAGCCCTTGAGTCCTGGTTTCATGAAAATGGGAGCGGTAGGGCCGTGGGATGTCCAACTTTTAAATTTCTCAAGATATTTCGTCGTACTGTGGTGGACGATCACTGGCAGTAGCATGGTGGTCATGATTCGCGTCGAAGAAACTGACAGCCGTTGAAGCAACGTTTCTTGCAGGGTGAATAGCTATGGTGCGTGCAGTTCCTCTGCACTCTGCAGGAGAGTCCTCGGGCTTCCTTCCACTAGTGTAACGATGCGTCCTGCGCTCGGCATCGATAGAAAAGGGGACGACAGAGGGTGTAACATCGCTTTGTGTACACTGTCGGCGTG